GCCGCAATATCGTAAGACGTGCGGAAATGGCGTGCCGCCGCGCCCTCCCCCATGCTCGCCCGATGGGATGGCGACGCGATCGCGGGGCAGACACGCGGAATAGCGCGACCGTGGTGTCTAGGTAGCATGTGGGCCAAGGCGGGGGCGCGGCGGCGGCGGTTGCGTATGTGGTGTGGGGACGAGGGTATATAGGGAGCCGTGGAGAAGGGTGCAGACTGTTTGTTTTCCAGCATCGCAGTTGAACAGTATCAGCCTTCAATCATCAATCATTCCATCGTCGCTTGAATATACATCGCATCATACACATTCCACGCCCCTCGTCGCGAAAAATGGCATCACCGATCAAGAACGTCGTCCTCATCGGGGTGAGTGCGAACCACATCTACACAAAAAGCTTAGAATGCACGCCGCCATACTGACTGACCTTTTTCTCTCCTCATCCCAGGCCGGAGGCAACCTCGGACCCTACATCCTGAAGGAGTTCCTCGCCGCACCCGGCCTCAACGTCAACGTCCTCAGCCGTCCGGACTCGAAGTCTACGTTCCCGTAAGCTCTCCCCTCCCCCCCACCACCACCACTGAACGCAACAAAACTAACCAAACCCCACCACAGCGCCGACGTCACGGTCCTCAAATCCGACTACACAGTCCCGTCCCTCACGTCCGCGTTCCGCAGCGCGCACGCCGACGTCGTCGTCTCCCTCGTCGGCACGCCCGGCTTCGGCGCGCAGCAGGCCTTCATCGACGCCGCCATCGCGGCCGGGGTGCGGCGCTTCGTGCCGTCCGAGTTCGGGTCGGACACGAGCAACAAGGCCGTCCTGTCGCTCGTGCCCTTCCTCAACGGGAAGCGCGAGGTGGTCGACTACCTCAAGAGCAAGGAGGGCGCGATAGAGTGGACGGGCGTGGTGACGGGCCCGTTTTTCGACTGGGGACTCAAGGTCGGGTTTCTGGGGTTCGATGTCGCGGGGAGGAAGGCGAGCGTGTGGGATGGGGGGGTTGCGAGGTGGGGGACGACGAATGTGAAGGATATCGGGCGGGCGCTGGTGGGGCTGGTGACGAGGGGGGAGGCGTGGGAGAAGAGTGCGAATAGGTATGTGTATGTGGCGGGGTTTGTGGTCACGCAGAAGGAGGTGCTGGCGGCGTTTGAGAAGGTCACGGGGGAGAAGTGGAGCGTGGAGGAGGTGAGCGTGGAGGCGAGGGCGAAGGCGGCGAGGGAGGGGATCGAGAAGGGGGATTTCGGGAAGGCGGCGGATTTGCTTCTCGCGGCGACGTTTGGGAAGGAGGAGTTGGGGACTCTTCCCGAGTTGTGGAACGAGGTGGTGGGCCTGCCGGCGAAGGGGGATCTGGAACTCACGGTGAAGGAGGTCGTGGAGGGGAAGAGGCCGTGAGGGGAGGCGGTGCATGGTGGTTTTTACGCGAGGATGTAGTCAGGTGGATGCGTGTGGTTTGTTCGGTAGTATAAGGTTGAATTGCTGAGAATGTGTTCCAGATGAGATCAACCATGTTGTGAGAGAAATTGGTCTACGGCGGCGATGGATTCTATGCAGACGGCTGAGGATCCACTACAGTCCGCCAGAAAGTTGGTCGCGAGATGCCCATCCGCTTGCAAAGAACCGTCTCAAATTCGTCCGGTGTCTCGAAAGTCTCTCCGGTGCTGTCGCTCACATCCACGTCCGGAAAGTACTTGCCGCCGTTGGACTTGACTCTGTCGTGGACGCTATTGTAGTATTTGCGAGCGCGGTCGTAATTGTCGGCAGAAACGGCACCATGAGCAGCAGTTCCGGTGATGGTGCAGAAGAAAGCCCATTCGTCTCGCACAGCATCGAGACGCTCCTTTTCGCGAAAAACCTGTTCCTTCTCGGCGCTGGGGTATGATATGGGGCACGGGGGGACATGGCCGTCTTTCGTCCTTGCGATATTGTCCCATTGCTCAGTGACTTTGATCAGAACGGAGTGGAGGTCGACAATGTCGCGAGGCTTTAGCTTGATGGCAAAGAGCAGTTCTCGCAGCAAGGGCCAGTTGGGTATGCTGAGAAGGATGTCGATTCCGTCGGCCTGTTTCATCTTTTCAAAGCTCCTTGTCGCCACCATCCATCGACGCCAGCTCATCAGCTGCTTCGCAATGAGCTCCTGCCGCTTGTGGGAAATATTCTCGGCTTCTCGTGGCATCTGTGGGATGCTGGGGGGCATGTGCGTGGGGGGAGGTCGAGCCTGAAGCAGAAGAGGTTGAACATCAGTGGCACCCCAATCAAGTATTGCAGCAATGTCCATGTCTCGAGACGGACCGAGACGGAGCTCTTGAGGGTCCAAGTTTAGGATGTCGAGACGCGTCAACTTCGGGAGGCGAAGTGCTGCATTGACGTGTGGTGAAAGATGAGGCAAGATTTTCAGGTAATCCTCATAGAGCTTGTGGTGCTGTGATGGATCCAAACCTTCACCCGCCCTTGGCAGTAGCACGGCAGTATTATACTTGAAGACATCAGGATGCATGACTGGACTGGTAAGCTGGGTGATGTGTGGGCGCTGGCTACAGTGACTTACAAGGACCACGTGATCGGCCGGAAGTGTGGTGGTCATACCTACTGCTGCAGAATGGCCCAACGCAAAGTTCGGTGCCGGGAATGGGATGGGCTGCTGCGGCAGCCTGGTCCTCGGCATGATAGACATTTCCAAAGGCCGGGAGGTTGGTTGCGAACAACTTGGCGTCAAGATGGGCTATCTTGTCTACTAAGCTGAGTCGTTCTTGGTCGTCCAAATCCATCCAGAGGTTGCGGACCACGGAGCCCTCGGGTTCTTGAAAGGCGATGAATGGTTGGCCAACGACATTGTCCTTGGTGCAGTGGTGCATCAGGACTTCGGGGGCGGGGATGCCCTGAAGTCTTGCGAGATGCATAGTTGCGACTTGACTCGCCACGCTCATCTTGTACTGGTCGTCTGCGTTGCGGAAGTAAAGCCGGAAAATAATGCGTGGACTCGAAGGCAAACCAGCATCAGCCCGGAGTTCGCGATAGCGAGTGGTGTCGCCAAGCTTGTAGATGTTGAGGGGTCTGCTCGGCGGCGACCCTAGGTTCGTCATGATCTTGCCCGCAACAGTCGCCAGCGCAACAGAATCAAACTCGAGATATTTGACGGCATGTGCAGTTGCTTCGCGGAATCTCGACAGGTCAGCGTCATTGCTCTGCCACCGACGAGGACAGACATACAGAAACCGGTGTGAAGTAGAGGTCCATAGACGCCAAAACTCTTGTGGGAGATGTGCAACGCGGTCCGGCAAAGGGGCGCGCAGGTTTGCAAGGTCGCGATGCTTGCCTTTGGAACAATTAGCCAGTGGTGTAACATGTCAGACGACTCGTCACCCATACTTTTGGACGACGCTGAGCGGCGCGAAGGCGCCCGAGCCATCAGCCTCGGGGAGGCTGCCCCCCGCGCATGGCGTGGTGTCAGCTTTCTCAACATTGCGTGTCAAAGGTGCGAGGGACGACGAGCGATGATCGACGGGTTTATGCAGCGTCATAACCAACTAAGCGATCTACCACATCAACCCTCCGCCTCCAGTCTTTACCTATGGATCAAGGCCCGCACGCTCTCCTCTCTGCCTCAATTCCATCTTCCCACCGCCACGCTTCCACCGCCGCCTTGTCGCCTCCCGTCCTGTGACACTCTGCCTCGGATCCGCCCCGGCGCAAAACCGTCTCCTCCTCCTCCGCCGCCGCGTCGCGCCTGCGCCCACCACATCCAGCCGCCGCCCCTCCGCCCGCGCGCCAACCTCGAGCCCATCTCCTAGCACGAGAAATCGTCCTGCCCGAGCTCCCTAAACCCCACTCCTGCGCCTGTCGCCGACCATCGGAGCTCGACCGCGCCCGTCCCAACGCAACCACCACCGCAGCCACAACCACAACCACAGCCATGCCGAGCCCAATGGTGCAGCAGACCATCACGGCGGCCGCGCTGTCCGCCGCCAGCAACATACTCGCACAGCTCATCACGGCGCAGAAGACGGGCGTGAGACAACCCAGCATGGCACATTCACCATAACCACACCCTCCTCACCCCGCCCCCGCCCCCGCCCCGCCCCACCCCCACAGCTACAAAGTAGAGAGGAAGCAAAGGGAGCGACGGAGGGCGAGAGGGACAGAAAAAGCTGACAGGAGCGTTCCCTCCATCCCTCCTTCCATCGGGGGGAGAGGATGCCGGGGGAAAAACCACAAACAAACAGCAAACCTTCACCATCGACGCCGAACCCGTCGCCAAGTTCGTGCTCTTCACCGCGCTCAGCACGCCGCCGAACGTGCTGTGGCAGGAGTTTCTCGAGGACGTGTTTCCGGGCGAGAAGAAGAAGCGGCTGCCGCCCACCAACAGCAATGACAACAACAGCGAGAAGAAGGACGCGCAGGTCAAGGATGAGCGGAAAAACGCGGGGATGGACTGGGCGAACGTGTTTTGGAAATTCCTGCTGGACCAGACGGTCGGCGGTGTCGTGAACACGGTGCTGTTTATTGCGGGGATGAAGGCGTTGAATGGTGGGGATGCCGAGGCGGTCAAAGTGGCTGTGAAGGAGGTGAGTGAGTTTTGATGAGCTGTCTGTTTTTACTGCTGCTGCTGCTGCTGCTGCTGCCTGGACGTCTGGCTGTGTGTGTGGACGGATGAGGCTCGATCGGAGGTGTTGTGATTATGTGAAAGTTGTTGTGGCTGATTGAATCTGTCGCGGGTCTGCATAGGGTCTCTGGCCTATCTTCCTTGCGGGCACGAAGCTGTGGCCGCTGGTGTCCATCATCAGTTTCACCCTGATTCCGGTGGAGAAGAGGGTAGTGTTTGGCAGCATTATTGGTGTTGCTTGGGGTGTGTATCTGAGCTTGATTGCTGCACAGTAGGCTGTCTTGTGATGCAGAGGGCTCTCGGGTTTTGTGAGTTGGAGTTGTCCATTCAGTACTGCTTCCTGTGGAGAGACGGTGTTGAATTGCGGCATGGTTCTATTCGGCGTACGGAGTCTCCGGCTGGTATGCGGATATGATCGCATTGTTACGGCAGTCTAAACGAATTGAGAGCCAAGGCTTCTTTCAAATTCTACTCTTTATGACTTGGCCTAAGCGTTAGAAAGGTTCGAAAAAGAATGATGACCTTTGGCAGTCTTCAAAATTTCGGTCAAGCAATCATATGATATATTTGCGCCCTTACTACAGAACTTCTCGGGCGAGATGGCAAGGATAGACGAAAACACCAATGGGGGCTTGCCAAATGCACGAGGCTCACACTTGAAAACCAAGGTACTCCAGCAGCAGTATGCGCTTTCAATCCAACCCGACGAAGCCAATGGACCAACTACAACATGAGAACGGTGGATGCGGCTCAAGAGAGGTAATTTCACGTTATGTCTTCAACTCGTTACTCAGTTTTATGTAATTACAATATTTTAGAGAGTCTACCACCGTAGCTGTACCAATGAGGTACACGTTCCTGCCACGAGTTTCCAAAACGCCAACCCGCCAGGCGCCTCCCAACCACTCCACTCCACTTGCTCCACCAGAGTCCCATCACACACCAAGCCCCCATTCCACCAAAAATAAGCCAGGAAGCAGCAAGGGGGAATAAACGAATCAGAAAGCCCAAAAGAAAAAGGAAAACCCAACGCAAGGGCATCTCACCTCTTCCCCCCAAACATGCCGCCGCCGCCGCCACCACCACCGCCGCCGCCGCTCTCATCCGACAACGGCGACGGATGGTCATGGCGATCGCGGTCGTACTCGTGCTCCTCGGGATGCCTCCGCATGTGCTCGCGATCGAAGTCGTCCATCTCCAAGTGCTCGACGACGCCGACGGCCTCGTTGGTGACGGTGACGTGGCTCTCCTTCAGGATGTACTTCTGGCTCTCCGCGTCCGACAGCTCCTCCCAGTTGCGCTTGCCCGCCTCGCACGCCGTCTGGTAGCGCTCCCCGCCGCCGTAGGCCGCGGCGTCCCTGCCGCCGGCGCTGCCGTTGCCGTCGTCGCCCGACATGCGGAACGTGTCGAGTTTGTGGTGGTGGTTGTGCGTGCTGGTCAGGCGGCTGCCGCGGCGGGTGCGGCCGCCGTTGGCGGTCGTGGCGGCGTCCTTGCTGGGCCCGCTGTGCGACAGCGAGGAGCCGAAGAAGGGGATGAAGCGGAGGAGGGGCCGCAGGGCGGGGAGCGAGCCGGCGACGAGGCCGATGCCGGATTCGATGATGGACCAGACGGCGATGTTGGCGAGGCCGTAGAGGTAGTCGTCTGGGCTGTTGTAGTTGAGGAGGTAGCGGAGGCGGACGAGGGTGGCGGTGGAGGCGCTGTTTTGGGGGGAGGGGGGGTTAGCGGTGGTGGGGGTTTGGGGTTTTCTTTTGCTTTTTTTTTGGTCTCTTGGGGGTGGGTGGGGAGGAAGGAAGGGGTGGATGAGAGGGGCTGTGAAGTCCATGGGGTCGAGAGATGGAAAGAAGAGTCGGTCGGACTTACACGACACCCAGGGCCAGGATAACGACGACAGAGGCTTTGATGCGGAAGCGCAGCTGAACGTTCCATAGGATGAAGGCTGGAAGAATGGCACAAGACCAGTCGGTGATGATGGAGCAGGCTGAAAGGAAGTATGACGAGTTGGTGATGACCTTCGTGTCGATGCAGGTGCCGAGATCCTTATCCCAGGTTGCGGCAATCGGCTGGCATTGGGCCAGGACGGTGGCGATGGTGGTTACGGCGCCGATGGTACTCAGGAACATGATGCCCCAGAGCGAGTAGCGGTATTTGCGCTGCTGGGTGATGCGGAGGAGGGCGATGCAAATGGCACACTTGATCGGTACGGTGGAGGCAATGTACCAGATCTGGAAGAACATGAACCACTGTCAGGAAGGAGGATTAGCACGCATCTCTCGGTGGAAAGCGGGGGTCAACCATACCTTACGGCCCTGTTGGTCATAATAGACAGTAATGCGTTCCTTGTGAGCGCCAATGCCGTTATAGGCTGATGTGATTGTGGCCTGGCAAGCAAGTGTGTATAGAACCTATCAATCGTCAGTGAAAGTAGGGATAGGGTTCGGGCGTCCAAGCAACACTGACAAGTCCTGACACCATCATCCAATCATCCAAACCAAACGCCTTCATGCCCTTCCGCACGAGCACCCGAGCAACGACGACGACCCATGACAAGGTAAGAAGGACAATAGACACAGTCTCGAGCACGAGCGCGGGACCGGTAGGAGAGAGCACCATGGGTCAGGTGCAAAGAAAGAAGGAAAGAAGTTCAACAAGGTCCGAGCCGGTGGCAGTGGGTCAGGTGGGCCATGGCCGCCTGATATGTATCTACAGCGAGAGAGGCGGAGATGGAACAAAGAGGGGCCAAGCATGGCGGAAGGCGGCCAGAGTCTCAAGGAACTCTGCTACGCTAGGACCGGTCCAGCGGATACGGGGTCTACCTGGTAGGCGATTTTCTTCAAGCCGTGCACCCTGTCCCTGTCCCAGTCAGGCAAGCCACCTTCTCTATCTGGCGTTGTCGGTGTCAGCCTGGCGACACGGAATTGAGTTTGATGCCCGCGCGGAACCAGCTGGGATCAGCTGCGGATACCGAAGGCCACTCATTTAGTTCACCACGCCTCATCCACGTGGCATGGCTGCGGCAGTTGATGGCGTTCCTGCTTTAGAACGGGCGCTAGGGATTAGTGGTAAGCCTGTGCAACGGTCATAGCATATCCTCACGAACCAGCAGCATCCAGCTACTGTCGACAGAACAATAATGCCGGTGAAAATCCTTTCGAGCCGAGGCCTCGCACACAGGGGTCAGTATAGGGCCTCGAGCGCAGAGTGAAGCGGGGGACCTTGCGACTTGCGTGCTTTAAACAGGGCGTCTGGGCTCAGAAGCGACGACGCGCTACTGGCGACGCAGGCTGATACGCCGGACGCCACTCCGGTAGGGCGCGCATCACCACGGTCCCTAGTGTCGATCTTCGCTGGGCCATAGAGCGGCTGATCCTGCAGCGGAGCCGCATCTTGCTAGCCGGGTTAACCCGACGAAAACGATAACACAAGATTGGGTTCGAGGTGGGTCGTGGCAGATGGAATTCCTGATCTGAAGACATGGAGAAATAGGAGTTCAGAAGGGGCGAAAATGAGCAACACGGAGATGCGCGAGTAAGCCAATGGCAATGGTGAAGAAGCGCGATGTTTGCCTCACCCCTCAACACGAGCTTTTCGCGCTTGGCTGCCTGAATCACGGTCTTGGTCTACCCAGCTCGCAGCCACATCGTACCACCGCATCATAGGGGCGGCGGGTGTTTGATTGGCCTGCAGTCTTTGCAGTCGGAGATAAAGAGGCCAATCAGCTGAAAAGGCGTCGTGTGCTTGTCGGGTCCGGATTGATGTGCGACAGGGCCGAGCTGATCAGTGATCAGTGATAGATCTGGATCTGGATCTGGATGCGGGAGAGGTTTTGTAGGCTCCGCTCCTCGCCACGTCCACCACTAGTTCCATCACCTGATTGACCGTGAATAATGTGTCTCGATGGTGGGTTGAGTCCAGGCTCTTAAGATTTGAGCTGACTAGCACCAGCGTCGCTGAGTCGGCCTGGAAGGATCCGGATGCAAACCAAGGCGTGTTCGCAGCAGCCAGCGTCTGCCATGTTCCTGTGTCGGCCTGGATCTGCTCAAGGGGACGCTTCCCCAGAACGCCATCAAAAAGCAACCATGCTCGCTTATCTTCCCGAACAGCATCTCCATTGCGCAACTGATGAGTACATCCCTCGTATCCTGTACCCGCGATTTCTCCGAAACCCGCCGACCCACAACCCTGAAAACTTTTCCCTCGTGAAGCCCACAACGTCTCGGCTCAGATCAAAATTGGAAAAGAAAAAGTCGGGCCAAAGGGCAAAAGGAAATCTCTCCCGGACAGGCTTGAACTGTCAACCTCCTGATTGCAACGACATCAAACACCAAGGACGGCATCGGATATCTTTTAACAGTCAGACGCGCTAGCCAATTGCGCCACGGAAGATCAAGCAATGCTTGAAACCCAACCTCTGGTTGGAGTGGCAATGGTTAGGTGGGTTTTTGCTTGTGTATAATATAATGTGTAGAACATGTCTTGGCTCCCCTCCAAGGCAGGATAGCATGGGGGCGGAGGGTTGAAACAATTGGAGTACTGCTGTGTAATGAGCTACTGACTCAGGCTTACTGTCGATGGAATCGACAAAGGTGCTGCAGAGCTGTTTTGCGTGGTGCCGTTCATCAAGGATCTGGCTGTTCCCTTTGTCCGCAACATCCATGTCCGCCAACCCTGTCAGCTAAAGTCAATTAGACATTCCGCGGTCGCTGTTGTTTCATGTTCCTGCCTGCGACTCTAGGGTGGACATGGTTCTTCGTAGACCGTTCACTGTCGCGTAGCTCGGCTGTACCCCACGGAAAATGGACCGTTGTTGATATCGGCGAGATGAGGTCCGGACGCCCGTCATCGTACGATGCGCACATGAAGCTGAAAATCGAGCCGAGGACTTCAGAAGCTCTTTAGCGCTCATGGGTTCCGCGTGACTTAGTCAAAAAGGATGTCTCACGCCACACCACTCTAACTTTTATGATCCTGCAAGGGCAGTCTCGCATTATGTGCGCCAATTCATTCACCACTGCTAGCCCAACTAACCAACAAACCCAAATTTCCTCTTCGCATCTCTCTCAAACATTTACGGCGTAATTTCCAATAGCCATACATCATAAGTCGTCTAAGGTGGAATCCACACTCAAGTACCCCAAGATCCAAAAATGCCTATCCACCAGGCCTTGCTGGTCTTGTAGAAGGTGCTGTAGTAACCGGCAGTTCCTCTACCTACGCGTTAGCGAAAAGTCGCAGGCGAATGGCTCGCCAATCCAAGTGCATACCCTCTACCGTAAAACTGCTTGTCTCGCTCTTTCTCCCACTTCTTCCATCTTTCCTTGTCGGAGAGAGAGGCGTCCATCCACGTTGGTTTCGAAGCTGGTTTCGGTTTATCGTCTGTCTTTGTTCCCGAGCCGTTTGGAGAGAATAGGGTGGACTTCATTTTGGATTGCGACGTGGATTTGCTTGTCGATGCGGACACACTGTCCGCGTCAGACATGATGAGAATCGGTATCTGATGTAACAGAGACGATCAAGAGCTAGAATCGTTGGGTGGCGGGGCGGTGGAGAAGCCAGATAACTGTAGATTTCGTGAACTATATATCAGGTAGCTATACACGCGAAGGATGTGGCTGACACGCTGCTGCGCCTTGTTGTACGCACGGAAATCGCTAGAGGATGGAATAGAGGCAGTGCTTTGCTGCGGGTCGTCGGGCCAAGACGCGGGGGTCGGGCGGGCTGTCCAACGGTTCCGAGCCAGTTGGTCATGAAGGGCCCAAGCTTTTCCGCCAGCACCCCCGAAAACAACAATAACCATACATGGCCTCTTCCTCAACCTCTCCTTTCCCCACCTCCTCCGCCACGTAGGAGCCGCCTCATCCTACCACACCCTCGCTACCATGGCAGAGGTACGCCAGCGGAAGGCCAATGCCTCCTCCGACCCGACCACCGCCGCCGCGCCGCCCGCCGCATCCGACTCCGAGACGAACAAGCAGAAGAAAAGCAGCAGCACCAGCGCCCCCAGCGGCTACGACGTCGGCATCCTCAACGTCGCGCTGGCAGTCGGCTCGATCCTGCTCCTCACCGCCGTCGCCATCGGCCTAGCCATCCACTTCCTCGACCCATTCCAATACCTCGACCTCGACGACAACTCCTCCTCCTCCTCCCCCTCCTCCTCCGCCGCCGCCGCATCCTCCAAACCCAACAAAGACAGCCCCAGCCTCCGCACCTTCACCCCGACCACCCTCCTCCCCTACACGGGCGCCACCCCCAACACCCCCATCTACCTCTCCATCAACAACACCGTCTACGACGTCTCCGCCTCGCCCACCTTCTACGGCCCGGGCGGGCCCTACGCCCACTTCGCCGGCCGCGACGCCACGCGCGCCTGGGTGACCGAATGCTTCGGGTCGGGCCTCACGCCCGCCGAAGCGTCCGACGCCGCCTTCGCCGCGTCGCAACTCGCCTCGACCCTCGCCGGCGTCGACGCCATGTTCCTTCCGCTGTGGCTGGACGAGGCGCTGGGCGACGCGGCCGACGGCGCGCCCGTCGACGGCGACGCCGCGGCGCTGTTCCCCGCCGCGAGCGTGCCGCCGGGGACGGTGTTGCCGGAGAGGTTGCGGAGGCAGGCGAAGGCCATGTTGGAGCGGATGCCCGGGGGCGGGGTGGTGGGGGAGGGGGAGAGGGCGGAGAGGAGGGAGGCGGATGCGGTGGAGGCGCGGGAGGCGGTGGAGAGGGCGTTGGGGAAGTGGGTGGGGTTTTTTGCGGGGGCGGCGGGCAAGTATCCGGTTGTGGGGAGGATGGAGGAGGGGGAGGGGGAGGACGGGTTGGAGGAGGATGGGGAGGAGCCGCCGGCTTTGTGCGAGAAGGCGAAGCGGAAGAGGCCGGTTAAGGGGGGGAGGCTGGAGGGCGTGATGGGCTTGATGCAGAAGATGATGGAGGGCGGGGCGGATCCGGCGGCGGCTGCGGCGGCGGGTATGGCTGCGGGTGCGGGTGCAGGTCAGGGGAATGGGCAGATGCCGGATTTCGTTAAGCAGATGTTGGAGAAGAGGGAGAGGGAGAAGAAGGACAAGAATTAGACGGGTTGTTTAACCTCACGTAGAAAACTCTAATAGCATCTTTAATTTGAAAGCATTTGCTCTAATTGGTACCAGAATTCCGGGTTGGGCATACATGCATACGTCAAAATCTACGAAACCACTCCACCCGCCGGCGTAACTGCGTAATCTCTAGCTCTACACATCTCATGGATTGCCAGTGCAAAAATCTCCCCTCACTCCTCCAACGCCATTAGCCAAATGAAGAATGAGACATCAACAGAGAATTGTCAACGCACACATCTACACACACCACCTCCAAGCCACGAAAAGCCTCTACAACCGTGCCGTCTCCTGGTGACCAGCGTCATGCGAGGCAGCCACCTTTTTGAGCCCCTCCAGATCCGCCTCGGTGAACTCGACATACCCATTCCCTCTGTCCTTGATATTCAACGCCTCCGGCAGCCAAAGGATCTTATCTCCACTCATCTCCCCCTCGGCAATCTTTCTGACATCAATGCCCTCGTTTTTCAGCGGCGTCTTATTCTGCTTGTTGTTATGCATCGGCTGCATATTCGCCGTGACGCGCAGAAACACGGGCACGGCATACTTGGGCAGCGACTTCCTCGCAAACGCCAAGAGCTCCACGCGGAAAGCCGGCGACGACCGCGCGTCGGGCGGGAGGTGGAGGGCGGCGCAGCCGGCGCGGCCGTCGTGGCCGGGCACGTCGACGCCGTAGACGATGGCTTCGAGGACGCCCGGGTAGCGGCCGAGGGCTTCGGCGACCTCGGCCGTGGAGACGTTTTCGGACTTCCAGCGGAACGTGTCGCCGAGGCGGTCCATGAAGTACCAGCGGCCGTCGGACGTGCGGCGGAGGGCGTCGCCCGTGCGGTAGAAGAGGTCGCCTTTGCGGAAGACGTCGCGGGCGAACTTCTTGCTCGTTGCTTCCGGGTTGCGCCAGTAGCTGGAAGTGGGTAAGCTTGCTGTTGTCGGGTAGGATGTGCCGTGCGATGGGAGGAAATCGAGTGCTTACCCGACAAAGGCGGCTTCTGATTCCACCTGGACGAGAATCTCACCGCCCTCTTCGAGGGTTTTCCGTTTCGCGAAACCGGTCTTGGGATCTCTGTACATATCCCCCGTCTCGTGGTCTATCTCTACAGGGATGTAAACATTGCGTGTCTGCCATCGGGTGATGGCACCGTGGTGTCCAACAGCGCCCTGTGTGTACTCTCCTACTGAACAGTCAGCGCCCGAGACTGAACACGCTCGACAGCAGAGAAACCTGCTGACGTAGGTTCTTCAAGTGCGATTTGACCTACCTCTGGAAATGTTCATCAGACCAAAAGTGCCTTCTGTGCTATTGAAAAACTCGGCGACAGTCTCAACACCGAAGCGCTCGCCAAACTTCTTCCACACATCGGGACGCAGGCCGTTGCCGAACATGAGTTTGACGCGATGCTGCTTGTCGAGTGGGGAAGGAGGAGCAGCGAGGAGGTATCTCGCCGTCTCACCGACGTAGACAAAAGCGGTGGCATCGCTGTCTCTGACATCTTTCCAGAAGTTCGAGGTGGAGAATTTCTTGCCGATGCAGAGGGTGACGCCCGTGGTGAGGCAGGACACAGCTACCGTGTAGCCAGTGCCGTGGTACAGCGGCATACAGTTGTACCATCTGTCGCCATTGGGACCGGTCTTGAGGCCACAAGCTGCGATACGGGTGTTTGTGATGGCCCACGCGCGGCCGACATGGAACGGACATGCTTTGGGCAGGCCAGTCGATCCACTAGAAGAGTTAGCTTCGCCCCATATATTTCCCCAGAGCATCGGCCGAACATCACGAGACCGGAGATGGAGGACGGTAAAGAGAAAGGACAAAATGGCGGGGCCCCGGCCTTTTCCCAATCAGGCACCCAGCTCCGGATGAAAAAGCCAGAGCGCATCGGTATAAAAAAGAACCTACGCACCTCGTGTACATCAAGCACATGGGATCCGTCGGCTTGACGCCCTCCCTCACCGCATCCTCCAACCTCTTCGGCTCCCTCGTCGCGATGCCCGCCTTGGTCTCCTCATCCACCTGCACGATCCTCATGCCCAGCTCGCCCTCGATCTCGGCCCGCACCTCCTCGATACGCTGCCGGCACCCTTCATCCGCGTCGACCAAGATGACGTTGGCGCCGCTGACGCGCAGGCAGTGCAGCAGCCCCTGGCCGCCGAGGTTGTAGTTGATGAGGGCGGGGGCGGAGCCGGCCTGCCACGAGCCGAGCACGGCGAAGACGAAGTCGGCGCTGTTCTGCAGGTAGAAGGCGACGAGGGTGCCGGGCTGCACGCCGGCGTCGAGCAGGAAGCCGGCGTAGCGGCAGGCGTGGGCGTGGGCGTCGCGCCAGGTGTGGGTGCCGCCGTCGCGCGACCACAGGCAGGGCTGCGACGCGGGCAGCCGCTCCACCTGCGCCTCGAAGTTGTACCAGAGCGAGTTGCGGTTTGTCCTGGCTGCGAATCGAAGAGGCGCTGGCGTTAGCCCGGGTTCTTGCTCGCGCCGGGCGCTTGGCTTGTGGATGCGGAGGAGACTGGGGGTGTCGGAGGGGGTAGGCTGAGCTTCGGCGGTGACAATTGACGCGCGAAGGATGGGTGGAAGTTGGGCTCCGGCGCGCTCGTGCTCATGGCGGCGACTCACCTTTCCTCTGAAACTCGGCGACTTCGCGACTGACGGCTCGATTGTTGCTCAAGTCCTTGGACAGGTGGAACTTGGCGTCGAGGTACAGGGCGGCAGCCGAGGTGCCGGCCACGGCGGCGGCGGCGATGGGAGCTGGGCAGTCGGTCAGCGTGTTTGGGTTGGGATGTTTTGCAGGTCAAGCTACGTACCTAGGGCGGCGGCGGCGGCCATCCTTGTGCAACGCTTCAGCGAATCGAGGCGACGTTGGTTTCCTCGTCTTCGGGGAGGAGCGGGCGAGGACTGGAGAAGGTGCCGGCTGCGAAGACTTAAGGAGATCGGCAGTTCGCAGCTAGTCGAGGGTCCAGCACGGCAGTCGAGCGCAATAGCCGTGGTGGCCGAGGTCATTGCCAGGTCCAATTTCCCATTTCCCCAGACGCTGAGACGCTGCGCCAAACCTTCCCCACATTATCTGCCGGCGCAGCCCAACAAGTGCCGGCCGCGAGCCACCCACTGAGCTTGAAATACCTCCCGCCCACTGGCAACTCTCCCGCACCCAGCCGTCACTCGACTTGCACTCGACGAGAATGAGCCAGCAGCTGCAGCCATCCGCTGCCGGACCCGCGCACCCGCACTGCAGCAACATCGCACACAATGGCGGCCTCCTCATCTATCTGAAGCTGATCTACACCGCCGCCACCAGATTCGCACGCTCTGAGACTCGGTGCGACGCTTTCTGCGATACCTCATTGGCTTTCATCCATCCCGACGCAAAATGCATAGCATCATCTACTGCCGAAGCCTCGGGCCAGCTGCCTGCGAATCCGGCCATCTGTACGCAGCAGCATCGGTGAAACACAACAACTCGTGTTGGAAAATAGCGGTGTCAATGGCCACTTGGCCTTCATGAGTGACAGCGCTGTAAGCACTGTTCTTCCCGTGCACCTCACCGCAAGCCTGGTCTGCGCATATAGGGTGTAATGTGAAAGCACTATAGGAGTCACGGCTATGCGGCAGCCAAGAGGTAAAAGTAGAGCGCGGTAGAAAGCAAGGGAGTCCATTGCATCATGTCTCTTAGCCTTCTTACTCAAGAAGATCGAATACAGGACAACTCCACGCTTGTCAGACTCGAACGTCTTGCCTTCTGATCCCATGCTTCGTGGCAGGAAAGCGTGCGAGTCGAGCTTCTCCTAGTGCTGACAAATCATTCTATAGCTGACGGCCTTATCCAAGCCTTTAAAGAGAAAGTAATGCGCGTGCGAGCCCGTTCTAAAAAAAAAAAAAAAAAACCGAGAACCGGGAAAAGAAGAAAGAAATCGACAGGGTTTCCACATCCCCGCAACACCACAACCAAAAAAACCTCACCAAACACCAATCCAACGGCGACAGTGACAACAACAACAACGGCGCCAGACCAACGCCCGCACCCACTAGCCCACCGCCCACATCGCACATCCCCCGCACACTACATAGGTAGTGCGGTCACGACAGCGTGCGGTTGACGCCTCAGCTCCGGTCTCGACTTTCATCTCCCCTCTCTCAAGCCGAGCTACCAACGGCTAAACTCTCCTCCCGCTCCCCTCCCTCTCCACCCACAAACAACCGCCTCCGCCAGGATTTGCTGTGGGCCCAATTTTTTTTTTCTCCCCCCCTCCCCCTCCCCGACGCCGCGCTGTCCCGTTTCTGCATCGGCCGATCCGGGCCGCCAAAGTCTAGAACGAACCCGCGGCCCCTGGTGCTAACCGAACGGCCCGAACGGATGACGGGGGGCGGCGCGGGCGAAAGCGGGCTGGCCGGCCTGACCGGTCCAGAACGCAGCAAGGGACGGCAGAAAGAGATGGATCAAGAACCTGAGAGAAGAACAGATGTCACGGGTTCACCCATGCCTCCGTTCCCGCGCCCGCCTGGGTCTGAAGAGAACGCAAAAGAGGGGTAGAAACGGGTGCTGATCATGGTAGAGGCTAGAACATTGTGGAGCTTTTGTGGTGCTGGTTGTGGATCTTAGTGCTGGGCGCCTTGCGTGATATGATGGACAAAGAGGATTCTGGTCTCTCATCATCTCTCAACATGTGGTACGAGGCTGATGATTCCTCCTCACGATATGCTTCAGCGCCTCACGCGCGGAGAGAAAAGTCCGGTGCGGATTAGCGCTGTGGTGCCCCGCTGTTGGAACCGGCTGCCGTTGCGGCTTGCATAAGGTGGTTGATGAGAGATGACCTCTTTTGTTGCAATTGTGCGTAGAAGGAATATGCGCATAACTTTAGAGCGTTGGTTGTTGTAAGTTTATTGTGCAGTCTTTCTTCTTTCCATAGCTTAGCGGAGAAGCAGAATAACATAAAGATGCCATTCGCTTTCCCGGTGCTGTCTTTGACCAGCATTTTTGTCTTTCGCTGGCTGGAAACACTATAGAGCGAAGCAAGGACACGTCTTACGATGAAGACGACTCCTCTCGTTCACTAGTTTTATCATTTCGGCTAAGCACTGGAATGTGATGCATGACCTCCGTTGAGTTGATGCGACGGTAGAGTTGTTTAATGATAAGATTGATAGATCAAACTATACCCCATAACAAAGCGATTGTAGAGTTCGCACGGAATTTCTAAACGAACGCAATGGTGAATAGATGTTAGCAATGCCCTTCCTTGACAATCGATTGTCGCGCTGCGAGTCTCGCCAGATGTTGTGCAATATTACTTGCGCTGCCAGAAGAGACTGGTCAAATCTGTCGAAATGTTGACCTCACGCGCCGTTATTGCCTTTATCGTCGTCTCCATACCCATGGAATTTTTCGCAGATTCTTGCGCACCTTCTTTGCTACGCTCTGTTGCAAAAGAATCGTCTTGTCGTGATCTTCGCACGGCGAATAGGAATCCCATTTTCTGCCGAGAAAGTCCAACGCCAACTCATCCGCCACCTACATCATCTCTTACAATTACATCAACAACTGTGCATTATCAAAAGTATGGGACAGAGCTGTGACGTTTGCCTCAGCTCACTTCTGAGTCGCGTGAATGACGCGTTTCCGCGTGTCAACTTACCAATCGTCGTCTTCAGGAGGAGAAGAAAGGACGATCCTGTCGCTCAGTTGACTCAAGTGGGAGGCATTTTAGTTCTTTCTCAAGTCGACTCGAGGTAGAAGACGATCGCTATTTTTCAGAGGCCTCGAGTCGAGACCGTACCCCTCTGGGGTGGCTGGTGAAAAAGGTTGAAAACTGGGAATGACGTAGCGACATCACGACTCAGAAGGTGGGGGTGCGGGTGCGGGATGTCCTGACTCTTGTTGATTTTGAAGCGTAACGAGAGGGGACTCCGGTACGCTCCGTTAGCTGCCGCCGCCAGCGCTGAAGCACTACAGTCAGGAGATTGTTGTCGATTATGATGCAAGCCTGGACTGCCTGATGCCATGTTCACCGGCTATTTCAGGGTCTGCTTCTCCGCACATGTCAGTGTGCATACGAAGATCTGCAGCGGACACGCAATGGGACAAGCTGCCGAGCCCCACAGGTTCTGATGTTCCAGTCTCACAACCTTGTCGTAATACGGGTGGTTGGGTGCCAGCGATCCGTAATGCCAGGGCTGCCTTGTGCGGCATGTGAGACCGATCGGAAGCGCGCGTCATGGCTTGTCCATTCCTTCCGGTGTCAAGGGAATCCATGGATCCCTGAGTCGATAAGTAATCGTCGAGTTTGGACCGATATTATTGCAGGAAGCTGTGCCGAAATGGCGTGGGGCGAATATCACAAACTTTCTTGTGACACGAGTCGAACAGCATTCCAGGACTCCAGATAGAAGGTGTGCTTCGCATAGCTGCATGATATCCAAATAATAGGTGATCCATCTCTCAAGCGAAAACAACCCCAGTGTGCGGATATGACTCGTAAGCGCGCCGTAGGTAGCTCCGCAACCGCGCGGCAGCGTACCAGTTAGCGAGCCTGTCCACGGTGTAGTGCATCGCTTCACGGGAACTAGGGCCGAGGCGGCAGGGACGCATCCTTCGACAATCTTGATCGGAGAGCGTGCAAGTGTGCCGAATGGGAAAGTGTGTAGCGACAGTTCGGTGTTGCGACTCATGAAGTTCGCCGCCGGGGTCCATGATGTAGCGGCAAGTCCTTTAATCCAACCTAGTCTGAGCTGCTGCGCAGGCCGAAGCCAGTCGGCATGGAGACTGCTGCCTTCATCGAGACGGGAGTGCGATGGCATCGCGACGTCGTGACTGGGTGCCGCAAGTCACACTACCCTTCCGCACCGGGCAATTCGAGACGCCGTTCGCAGTCGAGGCAAGCCGGCTCGCCAAAACGAGACCCATGCGGCAAGCCGGGAGATCGGTGACCGGTGTGGTTCCGGGACCCTTCCCCAAAAAGGAGTTCCCGGACCAACAATGGATGCGTCGTGACGCAATGAGATCGTGAATCGCAACGAGACCAAATCGCTTCGCAGCTGACAGGCGGCATTTCCGGAGTTAAACCCTATTCACACCTCAGGGGATTTTGACACATTGGTGTCGGATCCTGCACGCGCTCGAGTCAATAAGCTGCATTTCCACCCCGAAATCTTAGGCAAACGGAACTCAACCGTCGGATAACGTCTCCGATCGATTCAGGCGTCGTGATCCGTTCGGTATGGAGGCAGTAGTGCCTATCAGGAGATGTTGTGAGATCGTTGAAAATTCGAATGTCGCCCACGACTCGCGGGCGGGTGCCTGGGGGTTCTAATACTCGTCGGACCAAGAAAAAATCCACTGTCCACCGATGGGTCCGCCGGTGACGTCTTTTGCCGCTTCCTCACCCACGAGTGGCTGGCTATAACGCCCGATGGGCCACAGATGTCATCCCGTCTTTGAACGAATGGAAGGCGTGTCGATCGTCTGATCACGCCTATCCCGCCCCCGCCGCGAGCAAACGGCGCGCCAAGTGTTTTCTCACAGACAACGAGTCAGTGCTTCAGCCAACCACGGGCCGCACCGAGGAGTACAAAGGTACACCGGACAGTCGGTACGTAACCGGCCACGGAAGAAGAGATCCTGCGCGCTTTCCCACTCCTGGTTGTCCATGAGTAGTGCTTCGGAGGGTGTCAGAAAAATGCGACGAGATTTTTTTCGGCCGAAGGGCAGGGCGGCGGGAGAGGCGCCTGTAGAGGAACGCACAGAGCAAGCATTGACGGCCGTGCTGGTCTCCATAGTGGAGTCTTCCAACGGCCGCTTATACTACGGGAGCGGAGGAATATTCAGGACCAGCAATATTTTGTTCACTGCGGCGTCAGTCTTGCAGCAGGGGCTGTCATCGCACGTAGCTGCGGGTCTGTGCGAATCACGCCCGTTTTAGGCAACGAGTCGCATCTCGATGGGGACCGTAGAGTGCAATTTCTCCGGCAGCGGCCAACGTCATCAGCCACGAGATGCTTTCCACCAGTAACGCACGAAGAGCGGCGGAGCACGGTGCGGTATTTTTGTGTCTCAGCTTGCCTCGTGTGCTGAGGGTCAGCTCGTTTGGCTCGTTGTCCGCCACTTCCGCGGAGCAGCAGTCCCTTTGCGCTGATTCAGCCCGAGACAGGCCCATACGGTGTCCGAGGTGTGTTAGTCGAGGTGGCCAGGAGCCCACGGGCAGCGGGCGTGTCTCCGACGCGGACATGCCGGTGAGTGGCAGATCGACTGCAGGGGCGTCGGTTCAAACCGAGTTTCGGCGGGGATCATTGTCTGCGCTTCCCGCGCGGGCTCGCTTCTCGTCGATGTGCCAGCCCTACCGCGTGGATTTCCAATGGCGGCAAGGGCTTCCGGAAGAAAGTTCGGTGTCGTTGCCACAACGTATGCATAACTAAGGAGAATTAAAGTTCGCGTTTGTTGGCGTCTGGGGTGCCACGCGCCCACGGACGGGGTCGCCGTTGCTCAGTCCCCTGGAGTGGGCGTCAGCGTGCGGCCAGCGTGCGGCCAGCGTGCGGCTCGTATGCAGGCCACGAGGAGGCGAATTGTGAAAATTGTGCGTCTGGCGCCGTTTCCCCTGGTCCGGCGCACACGCGGCAGATGGGGAATGACGGCCAGCCCGCGATGGTGCCGTGGCCGCTGCTGATGGAGGGGTGGTTCAACACCACAGATTGGCGGGTCTACATCGGCGAGATCTCGCACCACTCCCTCCACGTGTGCCGTGCGCCACGGTATGCATGCGTGCTTGCGCTCTTCGGTCCTGGTGCCGTCGCCACCACGTGTGGCAGCGCAGCCAAGGGGCACTTCACATGCTTCTAGAAAGCCAAATCGACAAGGGAAACGTTTGCCCAGAACCGTGGTTGCAGGCTGCAGCAGCGGTTGGCGATCGTCGCCAGAGGTGCGCGCGTGGGCACCCTGTCGCGGCAGGGTTCCGGAGATCAGTGCCGGCCGGCGAGCTTCTGGGGCAGCTTGTTTCAGGGTTCTCGTCGCGGCGGGCGCTTGGGCTAGCCGGGCGCTCGGCGGCGGAAATGGGTTGACGGAGATGGCGCACGGCGGTTCTGGCGCTGGGCGGGTGCTGGGCGGGTGCTGGCTGCGCGCAGGATCTGGGAGAGAGCAGCCGGCGGGGCACGTGGGGTTGGAGCCACGCACACGCAATTGGAGACAATATAGAGAGCCTCTGCGGTGGTGCGCAAACGGACCGAATGGGGGTGCAGCGCAGAGCCTCGACGCGAGGCGTGGGCGAGGATGCGGGCGTGGCGGCTCCTTCGCCTGCAGCGGCATCAGCTCGCGCAGCACCGAGCTGAGGCGCGGCTGAGGCAGGGCAGCAGGGTATGGGCCGGGGGCTGGGGGAGTCTGGGTCGAGATGTGCGGCTGCGTGAACCTGGCGCGGGTGGTGTCGCCGTCGCGTGCGGTCCCTGTCGCTGGCTGGCAGGCGGTGTGGCGCGCTCGGCGTCCCTTTCGGCCGCGTGCTTGGAAGACGCAAGCGCAGGGAGTCCTCCAAACTAACGACGACCACCGCGAAGGCATCTCGCGCCTCTGACCTTGATATTAAAGAAGCGCCGAGCGCTCGCCTCCCTCCTTCTGCTGCCTTCTCCACCATCCCCACATGTTTGCACGCTGAACGCAACCTGCGCCCAACGCTCAGCACCTCGCTCTCTCCTCCACCAGCCAAACCACCGCGCCAACGTGACTCGTCCCGACGCGCCTGTGGGGCCTCGCCCGTAGCACCACCGCGCGGAGCCTTCCCCGTCACGCACGACTTCGCCCTCCATCGTGGGCCGTGCCTCTATCATGAAGCGCAGCTTCACCCAAATGACCGACCTGCCCGCCGGCTCGTCGCCGCACCCGCAGGAGCGGCCCCATGCGCCGCACCCGCCGCAGTCGCAACCCCTCTCCGCCTCGACGCCCGACCACACGCCCAAGATCTCGCGCAAGATCCGAGCCTGTAAGTGCGCCGCCGCCCCCCCTCTGACCCTCGCATGCTGAGACGCCCCTGCAGGCAAGGAGTGCCAGAGCCGCAAGGTCAAGTGCGACATCGCCGAGGGCAGCAATGGCGGCAGCAACCCGTGTGCGCGCTGCCGCCGCCTCGGCCTCAAGTGCGTCATCAACAAGAGCTTGCAGACGCTGCTCGATGACGAGAACGAGTACGCCCACCCCCCCCCAGCGGACCCGCCCCCGCACCAATGCGCTAACCATCGCTCCCCAGATGGAAGAGGTCCATGGAGATCAAGTACGAGCAGCTCCAGCACGCCGTCTCCGACCTGCTCCACCGCAACAACCTGCCCAGCCTCGAGTCCCTGTCCAGCTCCCAGTCCAGGAACGACTCTGCCTCGCCCGCCCTGGCCAAGGTGACTCCCCAGACCAACGCCGCCAACAGCCAGCCCTCTTCTGGCCCCACCCCTCCCCACTCAGAGTACCAATCACCCCGGACCCGCAGCGTCCCCGGCATGGCCATGACCAGAGACAACTCACCCGAACCGCCAGGCAAAGAGGAGCCCGACGAGGGCGCCATGACATCCGGCCCCATGGCCTCGCTTTTCGAGGTCACCAAGCTCAAGAACCTCCGCAGCAGCAATTCTGAGCGCCTCGACGGCTCAAGACGCAACCATACCGCCACCGACATCATTGCCCAGGGCAAGATCTCCGAAGCCCAGGCCGAGGAGTTCTTCGCCCGCTTCAATGCCTCGCTGAACCAGTACATCTGGGGCGGCGTCGCCATGGTCCACGACAACCTGCAGTCCGTCAGGGAGTCTTCTCCGCTCCTCCTCACCGCCATCCTCTCCGTCACTGCTCTGCATGTCCCCGATGCCGATCAGATCCTCGACGTCTGCTACAACGAGTTCCTCGCCCTCGTCTCCGAGTCCATGTTCGAGAGGCACCACTCTCTGGACGATGTCCGCGCCCTCTGCATTGGCGCTTTCTATCTTTCCGAGGTGAGCTGGAAGCTCTCTGGCCACGCCGTGCGCATGGCCACGGAGATGCACCTGCATACTGCCTACTCCAAGGCCATCATGGGCTCTATGGATGCCATTGAGCGTGCTCGCCTGTGGTACCTGCTCTACGTGTGCGACCACCACTTCTCCTTGGCCTACAACAGGCCGCCGGTCATCCATGAAGACGAGTCGGTCTCTGATCACGAGAGATTCCTTTCCCTTCCGACCGTCACCAACGCCGATCTCCGCCTCCAGTCTCAGGTGGGCGTCTTCAAGATCCTTAGCAGGGTCTTCAACAAGTTCGGCCATGACAGCGACAGGCCAATCACCATGGACGATCTTCCAGCCATCAGGTCTTTTAACGCCAGTCTCGACGAGTGGAAGAACACCTGGGAATCGCGTCTGGGTAAGTCTGGTTCGCACGACTCGCTAAAACCAAGCTAACAGCTTCGGCAGCCCCCAACCCGTATATCGATACATACCCTGCCAAAGGCTGCACGCTCCACCTGAGCTTCGCCAAGCTGCAGCTCAATGCCATCTGCCTTCGTGGTGTCTCTACCCTCAGCCTCACGGATCCTCGCCGCGAGTTCATCAACATGGCGGTCGAGAATGCCACGACGTGCCTCAGCTTCGTGCTGGACGAGCCGGACATCCGCAAAGCCATTGTCGGTGTTCCGCTGTACCTTTCTACCACCATCACCTTCTCGACCGTGTTCCTCATGAAGGTGCACAGCAACTGGCGGTCAGCACAGCTGAACACCAACTTTGGTTTGATTGTCGACCTCGTGCAGCGCGTCATCAAGCTCCTTAGTGACGCTAAGGCGGGCGATCGCCACGTCTCTACGCACACTGCCCGTGGGCTTGCTCACATGCTCAAGAAGTTCAGGGATCGCGAAGCGCGCGTCATGCACGCTCACGCCAAGCGCAACCCCTCAATCAACACTACCATCAGCAACGGCAGCATCAACACTCCGCAGGCGATGTCGCCCGTCGACGCAACCATGGTCTGGCCGCCGCCCTCATCTCACCCATCGGAGATTCCAATGTCGTGGGCGGGCAGCAGCCTCGACTGGTTCGGACCTGACGAGCAGTACCTCCCGGCGGGCGTGTTTGACGCCGTTGCTTCTTCTCTCCCCGTGGTTGGCTGGCCATTGAACAGCCCCCCATCGAGCGAGAGCTTCAATTCGACGCCGCGCATGCCACCAGTCAGCAACCCTGCGACCAGCTGGCCGATGAGCAGTTCCAACGCCACGTATCTGGCGGGCATCCCAAGCTGGACTACGGATGATGGCAGCGTGCGCAGCGCAGTCGCAACGCCGGTGCAGCAGGCCAGGTGCGCGGCGAGCGTAACGTCGGCGGTGAGTGCGACAGGCACACCGGTCAGCAGCTGGCTTGCAGACAACCCGAACCAGCCGGCCTGGGTGGAAGACTAGGGGAGCCGCGTTTAGTAGATGGCATATTTGGGCGGCGTTGTTTGGATGCATTGCTTTGCTGGCGTTGTTCGGAGGGGGCCACGAGGATCACGACGGCTATCACGATGAAAAGTTGCATGTGCATGGGCCCGGGGGCGACCGGGCGGGGTGTTCTTCCTTCGGCGTTGCTACGATGTTTCTTCGATGTTTCTTTTTCCACTTAGGCTGGGAATCACGACTCATGTTCACTTTGGGGATGACGTATCGGCTCGGTAAGGGTTGGGATTGGAGAGAAACACAAGATCTGCATATAGAGAGCGGGAACGGTATTTCGCATTAGCAAATTAGCGGTTTTCTGATGATCGACGCGCGTGTGCCGCAGCGGTGTGATTGGGTGAGGCCGAAAGCCGCTTTCTGGAATGAGAGCTGCCCTGCGCCGCAGACCGGGGTTGATTGCCACAGCCCATGGCATTTCTGCAGTCCAGGAAGATTTGCCAGTTTGACATGCATCTTGCAGATTTGCACACCGCATTTTTGGATCTCGAGTCGAAGCGTGGTGGCTCGCGTCTGTAGCAACACTGAGTGAGACATGGATAACTGCAGCTGACGTCCAGGTTCGTGGGCTCGTCTCTCGTCGCGTGGTGGTTAGCCGCCGTCAAACCTTCTTCGTCCCTTAGGGTCCGCTGTCCTTCCTTCCCCACCCACGCTGCCGCTAGCTTGTGTAGGTAGTCTACTACCTACCCCTCTTCTCCCTCCTTCCATTCTTCCCTTCCTTCCCGCCCCCATCCAAAGGAATCCCCCGCTTTCTCCCGCGCCTTCCCTTCCCCCTCCCTCCCCTTCACCCGTCGCGACCCGCTGAGGCCCCTCCGACGTCGCAGCGTTTAGCTCGCGTATTTGCCCCCACGCCAGAAGAGGCGAAGATAGGCGCTACGAGGGAGATACCTCGCCTGCATCAACAATGCCTGTCTTTGCCATGTGCTAGAAGCTAAATTCTCCCCTCCCATGCTGCGCGTCAGAGAACACGTTATCTCTCGTCGTGTGGCTGTGTTTTTCCTTCCTTCCTTCCTTCTTCCTTCCTTCCTTGCCGCGGATCATCATCGGCTCGGGAAAATAAAAAAAATAAAGATGTCGCCAACCCTGGCTGGCTCATAACCGTCCGCGGCGCTTCGCTTCATGCATGATGTGGTGGCATCTACCTACATACACAATCTATTCTGCCCCTTGCTCCCTCCCCCCCGCGCCCACCCCTGCATTCGCATCTGGAGGCGCTATCCACGTGCACACACACCTCCGGGGGTGGTGCCATTTTCTTCGCCCCACCCACAACGCCCGCCACGGCGCTGCCGCCGTCCGCCGGTCAAGGCGCCCCAATGCACGTCTGTTCGTTAGTGGGAAAAAGGCGTGGACGACGTTGCATGGACATGTGCCACTGAGGTACGTAGTGACAGACAGTGAGAGGTGCGACTGAAGAAAGGGCCCCGATTTTCTTTTGGTGGAAGACCATCAAGGTCCAAGGGGAGCTCCTCGCACGGTTGGTGCTTTCTGAGTGCTTTTTGGATATGTCAAATGATACCTATTGTCTACCTTTCCTCCTCGTCCGCCACTATGGATAGGTAGGTACGTATACATGTACATCTCAACACGTAACCCCCCTGCGCGCGTAATCATTCAGCCTGGGGGCACAGCGCCCACGCAGCCACGCCAGAGGGACAACGCATGGGATGCGAACCGGTCCCCGTTGGTCTATCGTTGTGGCCGCCGCCCGTCCGTCCCTTGATGTGTTGCTGCCTTGGCAGCAAGTAGTAAATAATAACCTGGAAATGCACAATAATGAACTACTACTACCGAGGGTCTCGGCATCATCAGCCGCGTCTGTTTTTGGTTCAAAGGAAATCATCGTCATACAAACCTGACGTGCTTTTTTCGTTGGAAAAAAGGAGGAAGAAAAGCAACGAAACGAAACCAACACCGGTTTCGTGTCTCTCTTTGAATCATCGATGATTTCGCTATCTCATCTCGATGAACAGACTAGAACCAGGCCCTTGCAGCAAGGGTAGATGGGCAAGTCAAGCCTTCGAGGCGCGCGCCACACGCCCGCCGTAGGATCTGACGGACGGACGACTGCGCAGGACGCTTTACTAAAACCTGTTATCTCAGACAGCCGCTCCTACGCATCACCACCTATCACAGCGTGTGAGAGGGGAGGAAGGAACCGCCGTTTGTCGTTTTCTTTTTCCATCTTGCTTCTAGCCGCCTTCTAGCTTCCCCCCTCCCTGATAAACCCCTTCTCCACTTTCGACGATCCTCTATCTTTTCCACCCCCCGCTTTCGCGTGATGGAACGAGCCGTTCGTGCCCTTGGCGCGATTTAGCAAGATCGTAGTTCCTTTTCTGGCGTGCGGCGGGCCCGTTTAATCCCGTCCCGCTCGAGCCTTGGCCTCGTGACGAATATAGCAAAAGCGTAGTCCAAGAATAAAAACAGGGAACTGGACTCGAGGAGGTCGCGCTAAACGAGGTAGTGTACGCGGATGTAAGATGGATCTGACGATACGATTGTGAGATTGATGTGACAGGGGAGATTAGACAGAGTAGTAGTGGGAACTTAGGAAGAACGGAGATCGATGCCAACAACGCTTCGAGATGGAGGTAAGATATCGACTAATCACTACGTAGTTTTAGCCCCGGCCGCGGCGGCCCAAGCTTTCGTTCCCCTTCCCTCAAGCTAAGAAAAGCGCTTGGCCTAGGGAGGGAGGAGGACGAGAGGGAAGAAGTGGACCCGTTATCGTTGTCTAGTCGACTATCGCAAAGCAGAAAAAAGGTAAACGCCACGGTGCGCGAGCATGCCTCAGACGTCACGGGTGGCTCGTTCCTGCGCCAGTGCGGCGTATCTGACGTCGGAGAGAAGGGGAAACGGGGAAATATTGTGAAAGCCACGAAGAGAATGCTGGGTGAGATTGGGTTTGCGGCGGCAATACTAAACAGCTGCAGAAATGGCTGGCTGGGCCGGCTGGTTGTGGACTGGCGGGAGCAGCAAGGCGCAGCGCCTCAGCTCCCTCTTCCGTATTGGCTTTTGGTTTCTTTTTTTTTTTTGCTTGCACTTTTCTTGGGGCGCTAGAAGCTTCGGTGCAGCACCGTTGGCCGTGTTGAGCGTGTCCCCTGGTTTGATCATCGTCACTCTGTGTGTCACAAGGACATGCGGGAGGGAAAAGAGGGGAAAGTGTGTGCTGCAGTGTGTGTCATATCAGCATGGTACATACAAACGTAGGGCTGACAATGGGGTCGGCCGAAAGGACGCGTGGATTCCAGTGGTATCAGTGCGGAGGGAAGTAGTTGTGTGGCTCTCACTAGGTAGAGATTGGCGCAGATTTTGGCGGCTGGCGCTTGCGCACGATTATCTGTCATTAGCGATAGACGGGTTCTGGAAAGACGGACGAAGAGTTTAGGCGGAAGTGGACGACGGCATGGTCTGCAGGACTAAGGCAAGCAATCAGCCGGATCGGTAAGGGAAAGCCACGCGGATTGCCATCAGCTCGTGGCAAAGGTTAAAGTCAGATTCTGCAGCGGATGTGGTTCGGGTATGGGCCGCACGGTACTTTGTTCTAGAAAAACGGGAGAAAGCAGGGCAGGGTTTGGGATTGGCCGGATCATCAATGATGATGAGGCCCCGAGTGTGCGCCGTGCCGTGTCCTTTGCAGCATCCCATGCTGACGTGCTCAGCTAATGGAACGGCATTCCGCATGCGTGCTGCCCTGGGCGTTCCGTGCCGTGCCTGGCCTGCTGATGCGCGGTGGCTGCAGACGCTGGACGTGGCGGTTTCAGCTTGTCATGGTGCGCCAGCGATGAGCGCAGCGGATGAGGGTTGTGATTTGATGCTCGGCATTGGCTCGGCCGCTCTCACAGCAGAGCAGGTCAGACGAGCCAGACGAGCCGGCACAGAGACCCTGGCGACACGTCGGATGCGGGGTGCTGGTGCTGTCATCGCTTCAGGCTGTCGGCCTGCTCGTGCCGGCGGCCGGCCGGCCACGCTGCCCGCCCGGCACTGCCGCCAGCGCGCGAGCGTGGTTAACGATTCCCGCGCACCCTGGCCGTCGCTCGCGGGACCGGCCTCATGCACGAGATCGACGCCAGAATCTGGACCAACAAGCAGAGGCGTGGAGGCAGCAGCGGAAATCGCGGTCGACAACGCGCATGCGCAGAAGGGCGGGAGAACAGGCGAAGAACAGGCGAAGAACAACTGCCATTCTGGGGGCCGGGTGCGGCAGGCTGTGGCAGGCTGCTGTGGCAAGCTGCGGCGCGCGGATAAGCTTCGATCAGGAAGCTTCGCGCAGCCAGCCTCGCGCACGCCCAACACCACCAGCTACAGCGCGAGCGCCCGCCTTTTGACTGCCGCCCTCGCTGCCTTCGCCAGCTCGTCATCGCGGTCACGTTCGCCTCAGAGACTTGCTGATTCTCCACAGCGGACGGCCTTGTTTCGCGCAGCTGGTCAGACCCACCGCTATCTCCGGCCACTCGGCCTGCCCACGGGGAAAGCACGGGGAAATCGCTGGGGCGCGGGGATGCCGACACACACTCGTCTCGCTATTCTGCCCTGCCTCCACCCACACCTCGCTTCTCCGCCCGCCCGCCCGCCCGCTATCAGCATGCTGCGACACTGCTGCAGACCGCCAGATGTTGTTGCACACCCTGCCGCCGCCTTCCGTGCTGCAATGGGCCACCGCCCGCCCGTCGGCAATTCCATCTCGTCGCCATTGGCCCGCCGGCCCGCCAGACACCGACTGGTCGAGAAGCACAGGCTGCCCGGTTGCCGCAATCGGCCTTTGGCCTTCTCCCGGCCACCCAGAGCCGCATCAACCGCCCCACCGTGACAGCATACACGGACGAACACCCACCTTTTGCGCCCGTGGGGTGACATCCTCCAGCTGCTGAACACCGCGGATCCACAGCGGCTCCCACAACCGGTACTCGCGGTCTCCAATCACCGCCCGACCTTCCCCGTGGGGCACTCGGAGTCCTGGCTCAACCCAGCTAAGCTCAATGTTGGAGCGTTGAGGTTACCTCGATGGGTGGAGAACACCCATTGATTGCTGCCATGCATATAGATCTGCTCTGCTCCCGCCGCGTCCGATGCCTCCTCACTTTCGTCCCCTTCGCCCTCCCCGCCGTCTGTGCACCTCAGCTTCGCCGCCCTAGGTAGTCATTCTATCGTGCAGTCTTCAACATGGGCCGATCCGACACGGCGTCGGTCCGTGCGAGCGTGGACAAAGCCGAGAACCTGCACGCCGAACAGCTCGAGATGCCCGACCCCGTGAAGCCGGGCCATGTCGACGAGGAGCTCGAGGAGGCTCTGCGCAACTATGTGCCCGGCTCCGCTGAGGAGAAGAAGCTCTTGCGCAAGATCGACTTGCGCTTGATGCCTATTCTTTGGATCATGTACATTCTCAACTACGTCGATCGCACCAATATCGTGAGCTCCCACCCCGTTCACCTTCTCCCACTCTCCACCCTGACAACATGCCAGGGAAATGCCAAGATCGCCGGCATGGAAGACGACCTGAACCTCGATGACCAGAAGTACGCTTGGGTCTTGTCCATCTTCTTCTTCGGCTACCTCCTTTGCGAGGTTCCCTCCAACATGATCCTCAGTCGGTCGCGGCCCTCGCTGTTTCTGCCCGGCATCATGATTGTCTGGGGCGCCCTGAGCGCCGCCATGTCCGCTGCCCAGACCTACGGAGCCATGCTTGCCTTCCGCTTCGTTGTCGGATGCATCGAGTCGGGCTTCTTTCCTGGTGTCTTATACCTGCTGAGCTGTTGGTATACCAGCGGCGAGCTTGGTAACTCCTCCCCAGCATCCCATCGACCACCAGTCCTCTAACCGTCAACCAGGCAAGCGCTTCACCATCTTCTACACGGCCGCCACCCTCTCCGGCGCCGTCGGAGGTCTCATCTCCGGCGGCATCACCGACGGCCTGCACAACGCCCACGGCATCTCGGGCTGGCGCTGGCTCTTCATCGTCGAGGGCGTCTGCACCGTCGGCGTCGCCTTCTGCGCCATGTTCATCCTGCTCGACTACCCGGCCACGTCGCCCGCCCTCAGCCTCGAGGAGAAGCAGCTCGCCACCGTCCGCCTCATCGCCGACACGCGCTCGCGCGAAGCCGAGACCAGCACCGCAGGCGCGAAGCTCACCCACATGCAAGCCTTCACCGCCGCCGTCGTCGACTACCGCACGTGGTACTTTCTCGTCCTGCTCATGCTCAACGTCGGCTCCGGCACCATCTCGTACTTCATCCCGACCCTGACCAAGACGCTCGGCTACGACGGCGTCACCGCCCAGTACATGACGGTCCCCATCTACGTCGTCGCCGCGCTCGTCGCCAACTGCGCCGCCGTCGCCGCCGACCGCGTGCAGCGCCGCAGCGGCGGCGCCAACGGCGCCCGCGCCCCCTTCGTCGCCGCTTTCCTCGCCCTCGGCTGCGCCTGCGCCGTCGTCTGCGCCGCCGTCACCCACCACGTCGTGCGCTACGTCATGACGTGCTTCGTCGCCGCCGGCATCTGGACCGCCCTGCCGCTGGCCCTCGCGTGGATCTCAAACACGATCAACGCCCCGCCCGAGAAGAGGGCCATCGTCCTCGCGTTGGTGAATGCGTGTGGCAATCTGTCGAGCGTGTATGGTAGCAGGATCTGGCCGGATAGGGACGCGCCGGATTATCGGATGGGGTGGGGTGTCACGGCGGGTTTCCTGGGGGCGGCGACGGTCATGGTGGTGATCAGTCCGGTGGTGTTTAGGATTCCGTTCAAGGAGTTGCGGGTGGCGAGGAGCGAGGAGAGTGGGGAAGCGAGGGTGGAGGACGCCGGGGAGGAAAGGTAGAGTGGTGAGAGTGATGGGGGGCCAAAGTGAGATCTCATGTTGTAGTGGCTGATTTGTTGTTTGGATGGACGAGAGGGGGGATGCAGTTATTTGAAGTATGATATGATGATTCAATATGATCCCGATTTGAAACAATGCGCTTGCGGTTCCGGAAAAGTGGAATGACTTCAGCGTTATGAATAGAAGAAAGCAAGGAATCCCCGAGGGACAACTGATGGAGATCTACCAGAGTAGGTAAGTACCGAACCGAGCCTCACACTCAACCTATCTATCGAGAAAATTTGACCCAGACTAGTTCCACACGAGATATTGTCTATCGTCTCGATATCCATGACGTGTAGGGTGGCTATTTGCCAATTGAGTTCGGCTTCCTTGCCAGCTTCTGGAGGAAAATGAGGACCTTCGTCATAATAAAACAGTGCGTTGCCATCATGTCCCGTACTCGTAATACCAAGCAACTTACTGACCGCCACTTGATCTTGCCAAACAACCGAGTCCGGAATTGTACGGGGGTTCAGCCCATCAGACCCAGGAAACCCCTTGAGATCGTCACGGCTATCAACAAATTGGGGGCTTGTATATTCACCGAGAGTGCAAGAAATTCAATGCACACCTTCTCCTCACTCTAAATTGTAGACGAAATCAAAGCATTTAGTATTCTCCGACGCGGCTATATATATTCTGCAGCAGTAGCCAGCTCATCTGTGGGCTCACCCTAAGACGGTAGACTTACCCAGCCGCGGATAAGCGACTTACCGTGAGCCGACTACTGTTGAGCGATGCATGGAGAAAGGCTCAAAATAAATACGAAATACACTGTACGATTACGATTGACATAGCGGGCAACAGTGACGGGTTACCAAGTTGGCTGATTCTCAACAGTTACATGGAATAGCGTGCACGAAGCCAGGAATGTACCAATTTGCGAGCTGAGTTATGTCGACATATTCCTCCGCAGTGAAAGGCGTCTTTTAAATCTCATCCTTAGTATTCTGAACACCAACAGATGTCCAAATAGCCTCCACTCGCCTAAACGGCCACTCCCGCAAAACTCATGCAGGGCAAACGGACATCACATCCCTTTTCCCTCGGGATCCTCCCGTCACTTCCGCCAATCCTCATTCCACCACGTGGCTGGAAGGACGAGAGCATCGGGATCTTCATTCCGTCTTCGCTTTTCATTGCCCGCGGATAAATATCCGCAGAAGATGCTCCGGGGATCGTCGGGAATAAGATATGCGGCCAGTGGCATTGCACATCCGCTCTCCACCCCGTCTTCGGTGGACTCGAATATAATCCAGCGGGTTGGATCGAGCTGGGAGGGCCATTTTCTTCGTTTCCAGTATCTCTGGCGGACGCGTGCTTTGGCTGGGATGCCTGGAAGCTGGATATGATACCCGAGGCTCGGAGCTGGCTGGGTGGAGCTCGGCTGAACAGGTGACTTAAGATGTATCGCGAAAGTTACATTTCAAAAGATTAAATAAATTAAAAAGAAACACAGCTGTCAAGACGCACATGCTGTTTCTCGTGATGTCGAGGAGCAGTGTCCCCGGTCGGTAACCGAGCGACGGCTGGCCCGAGCTGCAGAACACCACGCCCGCGCCATATCCACCCGAACGACAGCAGACACGGAAACACCGCCACAGCAGCAGCTCGCGCCCACGGCACCAGCGCGGCATCTCGGAAAGCAGCAAGATTCTGGAACCCGTCCACGACGCCAGAATAGAGGCCACGAAGGGCGTTTTGGGTCGGGCCGAGCGGGATGCTAGGGCACGGGTGGGTCCCGCACAACCCAGACACTGACCGCTCTTGCCCAGGCCGCAGCCGCCCATTGGCCCAGGAGGCTGCGCGGACAGACCGCCTTTGAAGTTCCCCCGCAGAGACCCGCATGAGCTTCCAGCTGGCAAGAAACGTCAACCCGCTCTCACACTGCCACGACGGCGGCGGCGCCTCAGCCGCAGAGCAGGTGGTGGGCTCAGGAGGAGCTCGGAGCTTGAGCTTGAGACGGTCCCTTTCTCATAAAAACCCCAAGCTCCGAGTCTTCCTGTTCCCTCTTTCCCTCCCCTTCTTCCCTCGCCATTCACCTCCACACTTCCAATCCCTCGTACCTACCCGTTCTACCTACCTACCTTCCTCTCTCCCACCACCACCACCCACCCACCCCACCGCAACCATGCCCACCCTCCTCCAAGACAAAGTCGTCCTCGTCACCGGCGGCGCCGGCGGCCTGGGCCGCGCCATCGTCAAAGCGTGCTCGGACAACAAAGCCAAAGTCGTCATCTGCGACGTCAACGAAGAGCGCGTCAAGGAGACGGAAAACGACTTCGAAAAGCTCTGGCACGTGGGCCCGCTCGACAAGCTCTCGACCGCCGTCACGGACGTCTCCAACGAGACGGGCGCCGCCGCCGCGGTGGAGCACTGCATCCGCCGCTTCGGGCGGCTGGACGTGCTCGTCAACTGCGCCGGCATCATGGACGGCTACGACCCGGTCGACAGCGTCGACGCCGACCTGTGGGCGCGCGTGCTCGCCGTCAACCTCACCGGCCCCGCGCTGATGAGCAAGCACGCGGTGCGCCACTTCCTCGCCCGCGACGCCAAGGCGCAGCGGGGGTGCAGCATCGTCAACGTGGGCGCCGCGGCCGCCGCGCGCGGCGCCGCCGCAGGTATGTCGTCCGTCGCCCCCGTCCTGGCTGCCGCGGTCGGCGGCGTCGGCCCCGCCGGCGCGCAGGCCCTGTACCAGAACGTCGATCCCGAGACGAGAGCTCACATGCTGTTTACCAAAGGCGCGGCGTACACGGCGGCGAAGCACGGGCTCGTCGGCCTGACCAAGAACACGGCGGCGGCGTATGCGAAGCGCGGCATCCGCTGCAACGCGGTGCTGCCCGGCACCATGGACACGAACCTCGTGACCAGCGTGCCCGCCGACTTCAACGAGGAGGGCCAGCAGGTGGCGGCGAGCTTGCAGACCATCTTGCCCGGGCACGTGGATGTGGATAAGTTGGCCAGGACGATTGTGCATTTGGCGAGTGACAATGCCGAGGGCATCAACGGCGCCATTATTGCTGCGGATAATGGATGGACTGCGTTCTAAGGGAAGACAAAAAAAAAAGCTCGGAAGTCCTCTTTTGTACTATAAGGGAATGGGGATATGGATAAACGGCAAAGCGGCGCAAGAATGAACTGTTTCAAAATGTAACGTGAGTTGCATAGATTCACTAAAAGATGTATCTTGCTTGCCTTGGCGGTTGGTAACCCTCCGTTTAGCACATGCGCACACACACACACACGCAGCCAGCACCCGACGACTTGCCCCTCAAAGCAGCTCTCTCTCCTCACTCGGCTTCGCAACCGGCACGCCATCCGTCACCGTCCCATACGGCACCGGTGGATAATCCCCCCAACAACTCCACTCATACTCCGCCTCCGCCAGCTTCGTCTTTTGCACCTCCATAAACGTCTCCAGCTCGCACCACCCATCGTCTCTCCGCTCGCACTCGGCAAAACTCGCATGCAACGGGACGGTGCGCTGGTTCAGGACGAAGTGGATATACTTGGTAGGGCCGCCGGTGCTGTTGTACGCATCGGAACCGCCACGCTCGGGCAGGACAGGATGCGGGGCCTGAATGACCTCGATGTCCAACCTCGCGGCGAACGGCTCCATGTGCGAGACGATCAGCTCGCGATCCGCCTTGTACCCATCCGCCGGCATGAACCCGGCGAACTGCTTCAGGCCGAAAGCGGTGAGGATGGACATGATGTTCGTGTCGTGGCTGAAGTCGAGATTGAGGGGTTGGTCGAGGGGGAAGGTTGTGGTACTGTTATCGAGGGTGACGTTGACCTGGGCGGTCGGGGTGTCGATGAGGTGGTGGTTGAGCCGCGCGAGGATCTCGGAGACGTAGCCGATGCCGACGGCGCGGCCGGTGGGGGATTGGTAGCCGTAGCCGCCGGCGAATTGGAGGTCGATGCTGTATTCGAAGCCGAGCCATTCGTCGTAGGTGAAGAGGCTGCAGAAGTGCGAGAAACCGAGGGCGACGGTCTCGTAGGAGCAGAGGGCCTGGGCGTAGTCTGGTGGGGTGTCGTTAGTTTTGAGTTCCCGTTGAGATGAATGTGCTTACATGAATCTGAGATGGTCCAGTCGAGACCGTCGATGTTGTCTTGAATTCTTTCGGTGGCGTTGGCAAGGTAAATGGCGGCCCACTCGGTTGATGCTATTGTTGGTCAGCAACAAGAATATCGAAAGCGCGTAGACTATGTCCTGTACCGTTTGTGCCACCTTTGTTGACGGCGGCATTGGAGTTGTTGCATTGGTAATAGCCAGCAAGAGTGTTGTTGAAATTCTGTTCCTCGATGATCAACTCCAATGTAGCATTTTGGGTCCATCCCAGGCCAAAGAATCCCGACAAAAAGTACTCGGCAGATTCAACCATGCGGTTCTGAGTCGTGGAACGGGCGATGATCTTGCTACCGTTGTTGGGGTACAAGTGGCCGTAGTTGTAATAGTGGGTAGTACCAGAGTCGAACAAGCTTCGGAAATTCAGCCGATTTTCCACAAAATGAACGGAATTCTAAACTTACTGCTGTTTCCCAACGGGAACCAAGATCTCAGCACCCAGCTTGTTGGTCCAGCCATTCAGGAAGGCCAGGTCGCCGGTCGCATTGAAGGTACCCGACGCATTGACAAGCTTCTCGGCTAGGGTGATTGAGCCGTCGGTTGAAGTGGGATACCTCTCTCCATGCCTGTGCAGCATGTGCAGCTGGGTAATGTTTGTGCCGGACGGGAGAGGATACTCGTCAATGCCGAAGCCGTCCGGATTAGGAGTGTAGGGGGTCAGGTGCCCCATGAGCTGGAAAATGTTCTTCTTCGCCGTGTTTCCAGGGATAGGCTGCTGTGTCTCAAGCGGTTGAGGTGCGATGTAAGAGACACCTGAGAATGGAGCAGCGTTGGTGGCGCCGAGGAAGGGAGCCTCGCCGGTAGCAGTAGGGCCTTGAGGAGTAAGTCAACTGGCCTCGCTCTTCGGCATTGCAGATGTATCTACCTTCATATTGGTGTAGTGTCGTTTGAAAGTAGTCGGGGACGCTGGTAGGCGACGAGGACGTGGCAGCAGGCTGGCGGAGCTCGATAACAGCAGCTTCAGCGCAGAGGCCGGCTGCGAGGAGAGCGAGGGCAAAGTACTTGGCTGTCATGGTTGCTTCGCCGAGCGAGACAGATGTAAGCGGGCAGGCAAGTGAGTGAGTAGAGCCGCAGGTTTTGTAGCTCTTCCCCCGCGGACTTTTTGGGAGGTAACGTCATTGGCGCAGTCGGCCGGCAGCTAGGATTGCCGACCCAATGTTTAACAGCAGGGGTATAAATGCGCGTCGTATACAGGGTACAACCTATGTCTGTGCCGCATCCGCACATCCGCGCATCCGCATTTCGCAGGCCTCGTGTTCCGCGAATCCGATGCAGTTTGTAGGTGTCACGTCTCCAGAGGAACGGAAGCGTCAAGCAGACTCGACTTGGAGACGATGCATCCCATTGCAGCGATCGGGAAGGCAAAACGTTGCGGTGAGGAGACGGCGAAAACGAGCAGTTGCGGGGAAGCTGGATTAATGGGGAGGCAAGAGAAAGTCAAGCTTCGGTAAGCTTCACTCGGCCCTAAACCACGGACACCGACGCAGCTCGTTAGTCGTTGCCGACACTTCCGCTATATCGCGCTACATTTGCGGCAACATCATTACTTCTCCCCACTTTCCCCTTCCGCTCGACCCGGACACCTTGATGGCTCACAAGGCACAACGCACGCTCTGTGTTCCCATGGAAAACTCTGATCTCCGTACATTATTGCGGAGCAGGACTCAACACCATTGGCAACATCTAAGCCGCGGATGCCGTTGAATCCCCAGTCGATTAATATCAGGCACTGAGGCTTTCCTTCTACGTCATCACCGCCTAAGCTCGCGGCTACTCTTTCCTGCATCACCATCCAACCTTTGGAGGGTCTTTGCTATGCAAGATGACTCACAGTACGCAGGCGGTGAACGAGGAGCATTCTGTAGGTTCGCTGTCTCATGTGAGCGGCTTGCTGGTCGGACAAAACCTACTTCGCAGCTTAGCTGGGTGCTGATCGGAACAAACCTACCGAGCGATTATGCTTTTACGGGTTAGTACTAGTTTCTGGACAACCCCTACACTTTTCCTCGCCAAACCATCGTCCGACTGCCTGTACTTCCAACTTGCCGAATCGTTGTTTTTTTTCCCCCTCAAGCCTGACTCTGGTCCAGGTCATCGCCTTAATTAAACCCGTTTTGGAACATTTATGCCCATCATCCCGGCAGCATCGCACAGCGGTACGTTAGCAAGGCTGTACCCGTGTTCCACATGCAGTAAATCGTACCAACGAAGCAGCCATTTGCGGCGCCACGAGGTTACACTTCAAAAAAAAAAAAAATAAGTGTTGCGTCACCGCCTGTAGAGCCGCCCACAGACCCTTAGACTCAAATGAAAAGGCATCCCACTGTCCCCTTCTGCAACCGTCCATTCGCTGAATCGTGCGTCTACCCTCCCCGATTGGAAGAGCCACCTCCGCTCACTTCCAACGCCGACGGCCCGCCAAAACCATGCGCTGAGAACTCCGATGCACCGCCCCCGCCCGGAGGCGAAACGGGGTCGAAAGGTTCCGGGCATGCGACAGGTTGTTCGCAATGCAGATTATCCCGCGACGCGCTATAAATCCCATCATGCTCCCGCTGCCTCTCCCAAAGCAAGTCCTGCACTTACCATCGCCTCCGCCTCCTCATAGGCGAACACCATGACAGTAGCGAAATCCACGCCGCAGGACAAATCTGCAAGGCTCCCTTTCTTCCAAGCTTCGCCGAAACCTCCAAGGAAACATCAGCGGACGCCTTCGAGTGCAAGACGCTGACTGCTCCACCAACGAAGAAGCCATCCACGGTCACCATACCGTCCAGGCGGGGAGGAGCGGGAGGGAGATGAAGTCGGCGGCAGGAATTGGTGAGGTAAGAGATGAGTATGTGTGGCGGGTATCGGTGAACTGCATGCTTCAGGCAGGATACGTACGCGCGATGGATGAGACGAGGAGTTGGCTTTGGTCATCGATGAAAGAAGAGGGAAATGGGTGGAAATAAACCAGGGAAAATCACCATCTGGGCACAGAGAACACTGTTCACTACCGCCGCGGAGGATGAAGAGAGCAAGTTTATCATTGTGTCTAGGCATGTCCTGAACTTCTTTAGGATAAAGTGAGCAGCGACGAGGAAACAGTGCGCCAAGTGACTACCCGGAGGTCATAAAAATAGTCGACAGGTGCTCGAAACAACAAATCCGACCCACAACCGTACTAGAATGCTTTACAAGTCGGCTCTTTAACCGTACAGTTGAATGCCTCCTTGAAAGGTCTCGAGTTCGCCAGCGTGCCAATGGTCCGGAAATGCATCGCGCTGTGCTCGTCTGTCTTGATGCTAGCGGTAAGCGCTTTGTCGGTTTCCTTGCTGCACAACGCTGTTGCGAAAGAAACAAAGAAGAGGCGTTCCGGCGAAGAGACTTGCTGGGGCAGGTCTGGCAATAGCTGGTTTGGCGTCTCGGCCTGACGCTTCGCCCACGCGGCGTACGCGATCGAGATGCCGCCGGCGTCGGCAATGTTCTCGTCAACCGTGAGAGTACCATTGATGTGGATTCCATCTACCGGCACGTACTTGGAGTACTGGTCGACGAAACATTTCGTGACGTTGTTGTAATTGGCACGCGTCGTGTTGTCCCACCATGCCTTATCTGCGCCATTCTCATCATATCGGCCATCAAATGCTCCGTGCGTCATCTCGTGGCCGACAATCCAGCCAAAGCTGCCGTAGGAGATGTAATCTGGGAGCTCTCTGTCGAATAACGGTCTTTGCAGCATAATAGCAGGAACATAGATCTCATTGCCAAGCGGCAAGTAATATGCAAATTGAATGGGCTCGGCGTCGAACCACTCGTCTCTGTCTCTGGGCATAGTGAGCTGGCTCCAACCGTTTTTGATGTCGAATGCAGTGAAGTTGAGGCCGTTTTCGAAATATTTGTCTTTGCTAATTTCGAGAAAGTTATAGCGGTTCTTCACTTGCACTGGATTCAGAACGTTTGGTGAGACCGTCGGGTAGCCGAACTTCTTCTTGATGTTTGCAACTGCGTGATATCAGCTCACGTCCCTTGCAGCACTGAGGCTTGCTAACTTACTTTTCTGCTTGGCTCTTGTCTTTACCTGATCCGTCATCCATGAAGACGTATCAAATATCTGCATGTAGGTAGCCTGGACATCATCGACGATTCTTTGCGCAAACTTCGTGTCTTCGAGAGGAAGCTGAGACTGAGCCCAGAATGAGCTCTCGATCAACGGCAAGTTTGATGCAACCTCGTTCACGCAGTGCCTCCATCTCTCCACCGTGTAGTTGTCCGGTCTGGAGGCAAGTTGATTCTTGAGAAGCCGAAGTGGAGCGTTGAAGTCATTGTGCAGCTTATCCGCCCAAAATTGAATAACCTGCCACTGGAAGAAAGCGTTCAAGACCTCGGAAGAAGTATCTTCTAGGATCGTTTCCAGTTGTGAGAAGTATTCGGGCACGGGTACGTTCACTGTGTTCATTTTGGCGGTTGCATCAGGTGGGGCGAGTGCAAAAAGGAGCCTTGCTGGTGAAATCGAGATGCCAGGGATGATGACTTCGACCTCACCAAAAGACTTGGGATTGTAGCGCTAAGTAGGCTAGTGTTAGTAGAGGCATTTGTACATGGTCTTGTGAAAGCAACTCACAATGGGATCCGTCCCCTGGAAAGCTTGCCAGATATTTGCCTCAAGCTTATAGATCTGGAAAATAAAGCTGCTGTTTGCCTCCAGAGTCCCGGCCACATTGAGAATTTCGAACATTTCAGACATGGTCTTGAGGTACTTAACCATAGAGCTTCCGGTGTTGTGATGCTTCTTCGACAAAGATCCGAGTCTAGGCGGGCCGAGTCTAATGGAGACGGTGTCAGGGTTTGCCGCATCGGGCTACAGAGATTAGCTGATATAGCCAGGCCAAGGGTGTCAGTATTGACTTACCCACACGTCGGGAGTAAGCAAAGGGAAGACGCCTATGTTGGCAAGGTAGATCAATGCGTTGGTCAAGTCACGATGGCCAGAAAGTGGATTCTGAACAACAGCGGGAAGTTTGTCCAGTAATTTTTTCATGGGCTTGACGCCAGCCTTCTTGATAGCATCCTCATTCATGCAGGCGTTGTAGGCGGTCAGCATCTTCTCAAAATTGTCGTGGTTCGCATCAGAAGTGGCACCGATGAACGGGGAGTAGTCGGCGTAACCACGTTCGATAATGCCGCGCGCAGTGGCTTGAGCCTCCTGGGACAACGAGCCCAGGACACTAAGATGGCCATCGTCCGGGACAGATGCGTGTTTGGATTCCCAGCCACCACAGACATACTGAGCGAAGTCGGTGCAGGGGTCGATGTTTGTGTAGTTGGGTGCCAGATTTTCCTTGATGACGTTTGCGAAGTCCATGCAGGCTTGGGTGTTGCACGAGCCTGGACTCTGACGCCTTTGAAGCTGCTGATGTTTGTGGTTGAGGGCGGGCTGGCACTGGGTGGCAATGTGGTGCTGAGCATGATGGAAACGGGATACTGGTGTGGGATTAGAACAAGAAACGAAATGGGGCCGGGGACACTGACCACACAGTGTCCAGGCTGCGAGATAGAGAATAACAAGGCATGGGACAATGCCAAGAAGACGTCTCCTGTGAGCCTTGGTGGCAGCGGCTGAGCGACGCTGATGATGGGCGAGGAGCTTCTCGTCTGCGATGTCCTCGTCGGGCATTTGATTTTCTGAGAAGCCCTCGAGCTCGATTTCGGACGTCATGGTGGAGGTGTTCAATAGAAAATATGGTGCTGCAGACGGGACTGTAAGAATGCAGGCTGGAGCCTCGTGTTGGTTGAGAAGACTTGGAGCAGCCGGAGCAGACGAGCTGAAGGCTGTTCGCCATGGCTTGTTTGGAGGAAGGCTCGTTCCTGCTGCTGGCGAGCGAGGAAGGTAGTCGCCTGTTGCACCTGAACGTTCGACCCATTCCGAGCCCAAGCCTCACCATGACGGAAGCCTCTATGGCGGGCATCGTTGCCGGCCCACGCTCGGCAAAGAAGCAGCGGCCCAGGCCAAAAGCCAGATCAACATGATCTACCCGAGACAGACTTTGAGCTGGCTGCGACTGGCCATTACTTTTGCAGAGAATGCCCACGACAGATCGTGAGGCTCACTCGAAGTTTGCGGCCTACTACCATTGAGCTGAGGTGTTGCATCATCTCGCCGGGAGCAATGTGCTAGGTTTACTTGATGAGAAGATATGTGGATGCTGGGAAGGTGCTGGGGTTTGGGCGGGACAGGGCGAGACAGGGCTGGACGCGTCGCGTCGCGTCGCTCGAAAGTGATGGCCGATGTGGGGCGAGGGCCCTGCGCACTCGCATGACATGAGACAGGACACAGTAGGGCAAGACCGCAGCCTTCACCCGCCGCCATGGCTACTGCTTCATTGCCTCTGCGGCCCCCTCCTGCGACCGCCCGCACCACTCAGACCGCCTTTTCCTCCGAGTTCTGGGACCTCTACAAGTCGTCCAAGCAAGACACCGGCTACGTGCTGGATTGGTTGCGCCGCACCGCGGAAAATGCCGCCCGCACAAAGAAGACCAAGAATCCAATTGCCCCCATTGGCGATCGCTTGACCGTCCAGGCTCTCCTGCAAGCCAGTGAGCTCGTTTCGAAGCGCCAAGTCACCGCTCCGCTGTACATTCGAGGCGCCTTCAAGCGCACCCTGGTCAAGCGCAGGCAGATCACCGAGTGGTATCGCCAGCGGGAGACCATCGACCCGACCGTCCAACCTGGCAATGAAAAACACGCCTTCTTCAACGATGCACTCGCCACAGCATATGCCTTGATGTTCCCTGACGAAGACAAGCCCGCTGCACATGTGGAGCCGAAACCTTCCAAGAACTCAGCTGTGGGCCTGAAACCTTCCAAAAACTTCTTCGATGTCCTCGCCAACATCCCTGAAGAGGAACCTGGCTCTCCCGTGCTCGAGCTTGCCGAAAGAAATGTCCCGGAAGACGTGCCAGAGCCGCCCGAGTACGTCTTCGTGGACGACCCGCTCGCCGAGATCTTGGACCTTCATCTCTACGTTTTAGAAATGGACGCCCTCGTTTCTGCCACCAAGCAGTTCTGGAAGCTTGCCGCCAACGGTGATATGCCCGTGCCGCTTGCAGCTTGGTTGACCACGGCGGGTTTTGCATCCACGAAGCGGCTATGCGATCTGGTCACGCCCGCCATTGGCGGCCACAGAGCTCTTCTCTACCATTACACGAGCAAGAGAGCCGACCTCGGAATCAGCGGCCTCGACGTGTCCGAGGGCATGGCCAAAAAGACCGGAGAAACCCCCGTCTACAAGGCCTTCTCCGACGGCCTAGCCCTTGCTTTCCCATGTTCCGCTTTGGTCAATTTCAAGAAGGAGAAGCTGCACGACTCTGCCTTCATGTCTACAGTAGAGCGTCAACCCATTGCAAAGTCGTTTTTGCCCGAGGAGAAAGAAGAGGAAGAAAAGGAGAAGTTCATGCAATCCGTCATGAAGACCATCTCAAAACCCAACGAGAAGGAGCTTCCGCAGCATGAAGCTGTTGCCGTCATGCAACTCATGGCCGACCGGCAGGCTCTAGACTCAAAAGCGATGGAATCGGTCCTGAGGAGTATCGCCCAACTCATCAAAGATGAAGATGCCAAGGACACTCGCGTCAAAGACGATATGAATCCTCTGCTTCCCGAGACCAGAGAATTTCTGGAATCCAAGGAAGCCTATCCAGGAACCAGCCTGGTAGTCGGTCTCCAGATGTTGCTGGAAACATGCAAGAGCTTCGTTTACAAAGGCGGTACACCGAATCCTATGAACTGCCGCATGATGGCTCTAAGGTTCGCCCAAGAGGTGACGCAAAGCATCCAACTCGTCAATGACCACGACCTTGTTGCAAAGAACCACACGGTGCCGGTGGTGTCTAGCCTTGTTGGCGTGTCTGACAGATTGAAGGCTTTCATGCGTGAAAAGAGACTCGATCTGTACTCACAGTCTCCATGGACGGGAGGTCAGCAGATGGCGCAAATCATAGCATACGCACTTGAAGTTGGCCTGTCGCTCTGCAACCAGCGTGGAATCGTCGGGACTGTCTTGCATGGCTACAATGCCGTACAGCAGCTTGCCGACGCACCAATCAAGAACCCACTTCTGGATGCACTATCTGATTTCATGTTGGATGCTGTATTCCTCGGACGTTTACCGCCATCAAACTTCCACAGCATATGGATGCGGTTCTTGGGTGGGGGAGTTGATAAGAAAAATGTACGTGGCAAGGACGGGAAGAAATTCTCAATCACGTTTCCCAAGCGCTCAACAGACCCAAACAACTCCACCGATTTCCAGAAGCGCATCGACGCCTTCAAGCTGTCCCTGTTTTTCAACCTCTATGGAAGTTACTGGATGGGACGACCAGAATTCTGGGCCCAAGTCTTCACCAACAGAAAGAAGAAGACTGCGTCGAAGCAAGAGACGCTTCAATGGGAGACCAAGTTACACAGAAGACCGTTTGGCGATGCCCTCTACATGATGAGCGATGTGGTGTCGGAGGAGTTCGACTCGGAATTTCCCATCGCAAAGGTCAATTTCTTCGCGGTCTACACCACTTGTGTTGACATGCTTACGGAGATATCCCGGAGAGCAACAGAACAGCGGCCGGAGGAGCTCCGTTGGGCATGGGAGCTTGGCGTTATGGATTCTCACGTCGACTCCGCCGCTGGTTTCGCCTTCATAAGCCATCTTCTCCAGGATATTGATACTCGCGCCACCACAACTAAGGCCGACCTATCAAAGCATTCTGGATTGCGCCTCGTGCAAGATGCTATCAGCCATGTTTGGGGAGAAAAGAAGCTGGAGGACTTCTTCTGGAAGAGTTTGTAGGCCCGCATTTGTCAATATTTCTCCCCATCTTTTTTAAGAATCTCTTTTTTCATAAAGTATGAATCAGCACAGCTTCCAAGGCTTCTATTCCGCTTGATAGTGCCAGGATTCGGACATGGACCCTTTCAAGTCCAAGCTCACGGTCCAGACAACCGCGTTCATCCTGTCACAAGGCAAGGGAAAAGGGCCGAATCGTCTTAACCAACGCCTTATCCGGTCTCATTTCCTTTTCAGTCCTATCACCCCATGGGGGCCAGACGTGCCGTCTGTCTTTGTCAAAAGTGCCGTATCGTTTCTCTCGAACGTTTCTATGATGAGGTATCGGCATCTTCTTCGTGTCCCCATCCCATCCCTCACCAATCAGTCCCCCCACCTAACCACCGCCGCCACCACCACCACCACCACCCCAAAATGTCCACCACCACACCCACATCAACCCGCCAATGGGTCCTCGCCCGCCGCCCGACGGGCGCCCCGATCCTCTCCGGCCCGTCCGCCACCTTCAGCCTCGTCACGGCCGAACTCCCACCGCTCGCGGCCGGCCAGGTGCTCTGCCGCGTGCGCTACATCTCCAACGACCCGGGCCAGCGCGGCTTCATCGGCATCGGCGTCGCCGACGACAGGATGTACGTGCCGCCCGTGCACGTCGGCGCGGCGATGCGCGCCGGCGTCATCGCCGAAGTCGTCGCCTCTCTCGCGCCGTCCATCGCCGTCGGCCAGCTCGTCATGACGCTACACCTCGGCCAGTGGGCCGAGCTCGTCGTCCTCGACGCCGCCGACTGCCAGCCGCTCGCCCCGCCGCCGGGCATGGCCGTCACGCATTTCCTGGGCGCCCTGGGCGCGCCCGGGCTGACGGCGTACTACGGCGTCGTCGAGGTGCTCAAGGCGCGGCCGCAGCACACGCTGGTCGTCAGCGGCGCGGCGGGCGCGACGGGCGGCATGGTCGTGCAGATTGCCAAGAGGCTGGTCGGGTGCGCGCGCGTCGTGGGCATCGCGGGCGGCGCGGACAAGTGCGCGTGGGTGCGCGACGCGCTGGGGGCGGATGCGTGCGTCGATTACAAGAGCGCGTCGTTCCTGGCGGACCTGGCGCGGGCGACCGACGGCTATGTCGATTTGTACTTTGACAACGTCGGCGGCGACGTCCTCGACGCGATGCTGCCGCGCATGCAGAAGGGGGGGACCGTCGCCGTGTGTGGCGCCATTTCGACGTATAACGATGCCGGGCCGATGAAGCTGAAGAATTGGATGGAGGTTGTGAGTATGCGGTTGAACTTTAAGGGGTTTATCTTGTTGGACTATGCGGAGCAGATCCCGAGCGCGATTGGGGAGTTGGTGAAGGCGGTGCAGGAGGGGAAGGTGGTGTTGGGAGACGAGCATGAGACGCTGGTCGAGACGGGGATCGAGGGCGTGCCCGAGACGTGGATGAAGCTGTTTGAGGGCGTGAACAGAGGGAAGCTGATCACGAAGCTCGTGTAGACGACGACGATGAAGTTGAGGAAAACGAAAAAAGAACAAAAAAGAAAGAAAGGTTCCCATTTCCCACCATCCACTGCGCACATATCACTTTACAATCTGGCCCTCGCCGGCTTTGCCTGCTCTTCTCCCTTCTTCTCCTTTTTCCTGTTGGTCAACACCTTCCGCCTCATCTCCCTACTCGCATATTCCCCATCATCCTCCTCGCGCACATAATAGCTCAAATCCGCCTCCGGGTCCACCTCAGTCCGACTAAACCCATTCCCCAGCCACGCAAACCGATTCCCCTCATACGCAATCTCCCAGTCCTCCCACCTCGGCTCCCTCAGCGCCTCGACGAAATGCAACATGCTCCCGGGCCACAGCCCCGTCACCCGCCCACCCGCCCCACGCTTCTTGTACCAACTCCGACAATCCTCGCTCCACACCATCCGCCCCATGAAGCCATCCACAAACTCATTAAACTCCTCCACCGCCCCCCGCTTCGGCGCAAACGCGCGCCAGTTCTCCGTCTGATACCGATCCAGCACGCGACACACGTAGTCGACCTGCGCCTCCATGGCGCCCAGCACGGGGCCGTTGCCCGTCGGGCTCGACGGCCCAAACACGGTGAGATAGTTGGGGAAGCCGGCCGCGGCGGTGGCGAGGTAGCCGCGCGCGTCGTTGTTGCCCTCCCCCCATTCCCGCCGCAGGTCCCGCCCGGTGCGGGCGTTGACGACGGGGAACCGCGGCGCGAAGGAGGTGTCGAAGCCGGTGGCGCAGACGAGCGCGTCGAACGGGCCCGGGTGGACGGCGCCCGAGGCGGTGACGAGACCGCGGCCGGACGCGCTGATGGCGGTGACGTCGGCGTCGTTGTTGTTGTTGTTGTTGTTCGGGCTGGAAGAACTGGATGTCGGGTGCACGACGTGCACGTTGGCGGCTTGCAGCGCCGAGAGGTAGCCCGGGCCTGGGGTGAAGCGCCGGCAGCCGACGCTCCAGGAGGGGATGAGGGCGGCGGCGAGGTCCGGGCGTGGGGAGAGGGCTTGGCGCATGGAGGTGGCGAGGGCGGCGCGGAAGGTGACTTGCTCGGGGGAGTTTTTTTGGAAGACGGCTGAGGGGGCCGGTTAGAATGGGGAATGGGGGGCGTGGTTCTTTCTCGTTGTGTGGGGGGGAAGGAAGGTTGTTATGGATGATGGGAGGGGGAAGAAAGAAAGACCACTCTGCTGGCTTGTGATTGGGGTAGGGTGCTGGGGGAAGGCACGAATGGGGAGCGGCGCACCGAAGTATCTGTTCATTCCGTCTTCTATCTCCTTCCTGTGAGCCAGAAGGGCGCCCGGCTGCGTCCTGAACGCCTCTTTTTCTTCTTCGGTGTACTCCCTCTGGCCGGAAGAGCCAATAGGTGGTGCAATCCATGTGGGCGACCGGATGAACGTCGTCAAGCTCTTGACATGCGGTTGGATAGCCGGCAAGACCTGGATGGCCGAGGACCTGCACACACTGTCAGCCCGGACCCACATCCAATCACCCAAGATCCTTCCTTGCGTGCGGCATCCCTCTTACCCATTCCCAATCAACGCAACATTCTTCCCGCGGTAGTCGAAATCCTCAGGCCAATCCGCCGTATGTATCAACCGCCCCATCCACCTCTCCAACCCCTCCACCCTCGGCCACTTCCACGCATTCAAGAACCCCGTCGCATCAACCAGCACATCGCACACATCCCTCTCCACCACGCCCCCTCCCCCCCTCACCTCCACCCCCCACGAGCTCCCATCCCACCTCGCCCCCACGACCTCCCGCCCACACTCCACAAACCGCCCCAACCCCCAATGGTCCGCGAACCCCGTGAAATACCGCCGAATCTCGTCGCTCCCCGCGTACACCCTCGACGGCCCGCCGCCGCCCGCGCCGTCGTACCGGTGCGGCCAGAACGAGTACGTGTACGAGTGCGAGGGGACGTCGCACGCGCAGCCCGGGTAGCGGTTCTCGAACCAGGTGCCCGCCACGTCGGCGTTCTTCTCGTAGATGGTGAGGGTGTAGTTGGTGAAGGAGCGCTGGAGCTTGTACGCGAGGAGGAGCCCGCTGGGCCCGGCGCCGACGGCGATGATGTGGATGGGGCGGGGGTTGTGGATGGGGTTGTCGGCGCGGGGGGATGGGTCGTCGTTGCGGGAGGAGGGGGCCATGGCTGGGAGGGGGGGAGGCGTGGAGGTGGGTGCGGGGATGGAGGGTGTGACGGCGGGGATGGAGGTGACGGGGAGAGGGGGAGAGGGAGGTGTGGGGATGTTTCCGGGAAGTGAGTTGTTAGAAAAGTGGCATAAGCGCAGGAGTGGTGAGGGTATTAGTAGCAGGGGATGCTACTTGACAATTGATGTCTTTTTGTCCGTTGTGAGGAACTAGGGGGTAGGGAAGCCAGGGAAGCTGCAGAGTTTCAGGCGAGAGCGAGGGCCCTCGATATATGAATGCGTTTGTCTATCACTTCCGCATCGTTACACTCGTTAGTGGACCAACAAGGATACTATAGGCCTCTCGTCTGGTCCGAGTTAAAGACGTAATAGTGGTGTGTATCTTCCTATTTAGAATAGTGTTGCAGCAAATAAGGGCATGGCTGGGACATAGTACCCTGCACTCAACACAGTGATCATGCGTTACCTTGCATCCGTCGGGTCCATTTGTCCTTAATCCGGCAGCGACCATGAGTCGTCAACCTGCAATTCGGAAACATCCCTCACATTGCATTTTGCGCTACGGGACCTCCGCCCGGGACGTGGTTGCCGTCCGTTCCTATTGGATGAAAGAATCGGTATAGAAGCCAGAAACGGTCCTGAGAATTGCTAATAGCTGCTACTGACCAGTTTGATATAGATTCAAGGTCTTCCAAACCATACCCTTTCCCATTGAGCAACAGCAATCATGCTTTGTTGACGAATTACAAGCCTCTAACAAAGACGTGCTACGATGTGCTCCAGTGCGTTGAAAAGAGAGCTCGACCTTACTGGCTTGGGAAGAAGGCGGACAGGGCTCGAGACAATAATAATGGCGTAACAATGTCGATATACCAAGACATGCTGTATGCGAGGACCCGGCCGAGTGGTGGTACATCCGATCCCTACCATTCGTTGTTCACTTTCAAGTAAACCCCTCTGCTGATCGCAAGTTTGGGGGGTGGAGATAAATTATCCGCATTGACCATCGGCGCCGCACAGGTGATTCTTTGCATCGTAGAACTGTTCATAAGGTTCGGAGACGTCAGGAGCTCGATCCAAATTGTGTCTCCACGATAAGCATGTCAGATAGGCTGTAGATGAGTACGCCACAAAGCCACCGATTGGGACCGGTCCTATGAAATGATTCCATGGCACTCGAGAATCCTTAGTAGGCTTGCTTAATTGCTCCGAACTCATATCCAGAGTCGGATGCTCAGTACAAAATAATTGCAGGACCCGCAACGTCCTCTGTCACATCGGTTTCCCACACTGACGTCATACGTAGCCAAGACATCTCCGCTTTCCTTCCCCACATGCGCGGCTCGGAACGGTCGCTGATCAGCACCGTATCGGGAAATGCAAGCCCGAAAAGTACCACTGGGAGGTACGTACCCCGCAGTTCAATTAATGAAGAGAGAGCCGCGGAGCTGGTGTATAACCGGTTGAACGTATTAGCTCTTTCGCAATTGCCAAACTTCTATTCTTATTTATCCGGGACCCCGCCCTAGTCCAAAGGTCGGCGGAGTATCTCGCCATGAATTTCAAAACCCTGGAGCTATATAATGAACTGCATCGCGTTCATCTGGGAGCGCTTCGCTCATTTGTGGGGCATTGCGTTTATGACTGCCATCTTTGCTTAGAATGAGATTTCTTCTTGCAATTCCTTGGCTTCCATGCCTCGGCGCATACGCCCAGACACCGGTATGGCCGAGCAGCAGCTCGACAAGTTCCAACCCTGCCATGGTCACTTCAATGGACCTTACAGTTGACGGTAAGCCACCGCATTATTCGCTCAACCGCTGTTTGTCAATTGGCTCACCATCTGCAGACATGTGGGACATCTGGATCGGCTCTGTAGCGGTAGCATCTGTCAACACGACTGTCTCCCCTACTCCCGTGCCCAGCTCTGAACTGATCCCCCCTCCACCGTTACACTATCCGTCATGGATGAGCGGCCCGCAAACACCACAACAGTTGAAGAACGAATCGTGGAGTTTTCCAAAAGACTTCTGGTGGGGCGTTTCAAGCGCTTCCTATCAGGTCGAAGGCGCAGTGAAGGACGAGGGCCGCTCGCCCTCGGTCTGGGATGCTCTTCTGCACAATGTAGTGGGCAACAGCTTGTACAACGAAACGGGGGATGTTGCCATCAACCACTATTACCTCTATAAGCAAGGTGCGTTGACATTAACCATCACATACCGTTCCTTCCGCTGACAAAAGCGCTCCAGACATTGCGAGGCTAGCGGCTATGGGCGTGCCTTATTACAGCTTTTCCCTGTCTTGGTCGCGCATCCTACCTTTCGGGCGCGGACCGATCAACGAGGCAGGCTTGGCGCATTATGAGGACGTGATCAACACGTGTTTGGAGTACGGCGTGAAACCTGCGGTAACACTGTACATCCCTCCGTTCGTTGCAAGTCTGAAGTCCTTGCTGATTGTCCATGAGCTTTCACTGGGATCTGCCACTGTATCTTTATAACCTGTATGGTATGTGTCAGCCCTCATTTCCAGCAGGGATGGATACTTACTCCATACAGGCGGATGGACCAACGAGAAAATCGTAGACGACTTCGTCAACTACGCCCGGATCGTCTTCGAGAGGTTTGGAAACAAGGTACCCATGTGGTTCACCGTGAACGAGCCCATCAGCTTCTGGTAACGAACAAACCTCAAGCCCTCTTTCCAAACTCCCAGAAAGCCTGACACTGCTCCTCCACCAGTACTCTCCAAATGCCTGACAACTACTTCCGTCGCGTCCCCATCCTACAAAAGCAACAGCCCTACTTCTGCGGTCAGCACGTCCTCCTCGCGCACAGCAAAGTCTACCACCTGGCCAAATCCATGAACCTCACGGGGCCAGTAACGTTCAAAAACAACGGCTACTACAAAACGCCGCAGACCAACTCGACCGCCGACGCCGAGGCAACGCAGCGCGCCTGGGACTTCAACGAAGGGTGGTTCGCCAACCCCGTCTTCGTCGACGGCGAGTATCCGCGCTACCTGAAGGAATACGTCTCAACCTTCCTGCGCGACCTGACGGCCGAAGAGAAAGCGGCCATCAAAGGCTCGGCCGATTACTTTGCGCACGACGCGTATGCTGCGAAGTGAGTACTTCTTTTTTTCCCCTGCTCCTCACCACACGCCTTTGCGAGATGCGTTCCGTCCCAGAAACGCAACAACCCAAGCTGACCTCCCCAGATACTACATGGCGCCGACGACCGGCATCGCCGCCTGCACAGCCAACTACTCGCACCCGCTCTTCCCCACCTGCGCCAACTCGTCCTTCACCCTCACCGACGCCGACGGCGGCTGGCTGATCGGCCCCGCCGCCGACCCGTACACGTCGTGGCTGCACAAAGCAACGGACTGGATCCCGCAGTAAGTAACCGTCCAAAAGAAAAGGGGGTGGGGAGAAAAAAAAAAAACAACAACAACAACAACAATAATGCCCCCCACCCCCCCTCTCCCTCTCTCCGTCTCCCTCACTAACACACCCCACCCCCCAAAGATTCCTCCGCTACATCAACACCACCTGGCCGCACCCGGGCGGCATCGCCGTGTCCGAGTTCGGCTTCACGGAGCCCTTCGAGCACGACAAGAAGCTGCTGTCCGACATCCGGCTCGACCTGGGGCGGTCCGCCTACTACCGCGACTACGTCGATGCGGTGCTGCTGGCGGCGAGCGAGGGCGTCAAGGTGGTCGGCCTGCTGGCGTGGTCGATCGCGGACAACTTGGAGTGGACGGCCGGGTATGGGGTCAAGTTCGGGGTGCAGTACGTGAATCTGACGACGCAGGAGCGGTCGTACAAGGCGAGTTTCTTTGAGCTGAGGGATCGGATCGAGATGTATTGGGAAAAGTAGAGGAGTGGGGAAGGTGGGTGGGCGGGTTCATGGGGGGAAGGCTTACCGTGTGCAGACTGACTGAGCGGAGACGGATGCTGGCGAGTCGCCTTGGCCTGGGGCCCGTCGGACAATGTCAACTGTGTGCACGCCACAACATAGCGAGCGAGTGAAGATGGTCCAATAGTGATGCAAGCAACCTCTCGATTGGGTAGTGTCGCTCTGTCCTGAACTACGATATCTAAAGCGTCTAGGTCTAACTCATATGTTATCTAACGGTCGGCAACTCAACGTTACCACGACAGCAACCTCTCCTCATACTGAGAGCCAGTGACGCCATTCCAGAACGCTCACTGATGCTACCCGTCACAACCAAACCAAAAGACTTCGGGCGCGCATTCGGCGTTGCGGCGTTGAAGTCCTCACCAAGCTGCAGCAGCTCAAGGCCATGCGCGGCAGGGCTCATTCGTGCTGCGACGCGAGTCTTTCTCGACGGTTTTCCATGGATAATCCGCCAAAGACGATGAGCCGCTCGTAAGCCTTGGATTCTGGCAATTTCCGAGATCCCTACTCTTCAATTCCGTCTCGCAGGACCCCCCTCCTCCTTCACGTCCTCGTCACCCACTCCGGAACAACCCTCTTGGCAAACTTCATGAACTTGAAGAATCCAACCGCGTACTCGACATTGCCATACGGGTCCGTGACGCGTTCGGGGAACGCGATACCAGCGCCGAACAGGCCGGGCACGAACTCCTTCTCGTCGCCGCTCGCGGGGGCGTTCGCGTCCGACGCCGTCGACGACATGCTCGTGGCGGCACTGCCGGCCGGGACGCTCCTGACGAAGCGGCCGGTCATGTTGTCGTAGATGACGTCCAGCGGCTCGGGCGCGGCGCCGTCGCCGTCGGTGACGGACAGCCGCGGGAGCGGGTCGCGCTTGTAGCCGACGGCCTGGACGACGTGCGAGCACGCGGGCAGCTCCTGCTTGTAGACGGCGTCCTCGCCGCCGCTCGGGGTCCACGCCTGCTGGATGTAGCGGCTGACGGGGCTCGTGGCGAACCGCTCGTCCTCGAGGTTGTCGCGGGCCCACTGGGCGACCTCGCCCTTCAGGCCCGTGTTGTCGCGCAGGATCCAGCCGTCCATGTACTCGGCGTACCGCAGCTTGTTGCGGGTGAACCACTTGACACGCAGGTTGGGGTGCGAGGTGGAAGCGAGGTTGTATAGGTTGCGCAGGACCAGGATGGCCGAGTGCGAGGCGCCGATGACGGCGACGGTGGCGGGCTCTTCGGGGTCGAAGGTCTTGGCGAGGATGGAGGGCGTTAGGGCGGTGTCGAGGTGCAGTGAGCGTAGGCGCAGGTCCTGCAGCTGGTCGAAGATGGGCAGCGGTTGGGAGACGGGGCTGGAGCCGGTGCAGAGGACGACGTTGGGGGTGACGACCGGGGCGCCGTCGTCGAGCGAGACGGTCCAGTGCTTGGTTTGCTGTTGTGTGGCTGCTGTCAGCTTTGGCTCAGGATGCAGAGGATAAGGCGCACCTTGTCAAAGACGGCAGCAGTGACCTTGCCCATCTGCGAGTTGACGTTGTCATGGCGAGTCAAGCCGTCAGTGAGCATCAGACACAGATCGGCGGCCTTGCTGAGCTCGCAACCCGTGTCCTGGGGCAGCTCGCGGAGAGCAGTGGCGGCATTGGGCTGGGGCGTCTTCTCGACGATGTGGCGGAGCGGAGCGGTGGCTTCGGCCCAGGCGAGGAACAGCTTGACGGCGGTGTTGCTCGGGACCTCTCTGTAGCGGGCGTTGACGCGGCCGGCGCGGAAGTGCGGGTCGACCCAGAGCATGCGCTGGGCGGGCAACTGGTGCTGCTGCTCGAGCAGATTGCCGAGAACGGTGATGCCCGCAGGCCCGCCGCCAACAACGACAGCGGCGCAATTTCTCTGGCTGGACGACGACGAGTAGTACATGGTGCTCTGCCGGCAGGCGATGGCCAAATAGCACGCTCTGCCAGGCGCGCGCGTCGGCGCCTTATGAAGGAGCAGGCGGGCGACGGTCATGGCTGCAGCTGCACGCGTGCCAGGGGGCGTTATCTTGGAGCTTGAGACAGTGCAGAGGGAGGCGCGCACAGGGTCTGCAGCGACGCGCGTGAGCGAGAAAGTTGTGATTGCTCCGGGTTGTTGCGTGCTACCGCAGAGCTAGCCCTGCCCACACCACCCCCCGGCCCATGCGCAACCATTCGCTCTCTTTCCCGTCGCCGACATGCCCGATAAGAGCACCAGATGCACCGCAGCCCACAGTCTGCCGACCTGCGGGACGCCCTGTTTCCCCATGCGAGCATTGAAGAGCCATTTGAAACGCCCTGCCTACGTACGACCGTCCGACCGGTCAATGCAATCATCCAATCCACCTTCTACCCTTAGAAAGTGGTGGATACGCCCCCTCGCCGATACGCCTCTCGCGCGTATACGCCTACCCCCCAGGGATGGTCTGTTTGATTTTTTCATGTACGCCCCCCAACCAACCCAATCACCCACCACCGGGTAGTCCCAAGGTGGTCTCGTGATAATGAGCTTGAAGAAATTACAGCTACTAAATTTTATAAAATTTATGATACGAAAATAAGACAGATCTTTTTATATCTCCAAGCAAGCTTTTTAAATTATCAAGTATAATAGATCACTTAGCAGTACGCTAAGCTTAATGAGGTATCTTTTGTTGGCATACGTGTCAGCGGAGCGACCCTACCCTAGAGAATAATGTTCGTCCTACTTATGAAATACACCCCCTAGCACCCCTTGTTTTTCAAACCGTAGCCTACCGTGCACCTAAAACCGTCTCTCCACGATCGCCTCATTTTGATATGGCTTACTCCAATTGTAGTCCCGAGTCGTCATCTCCACGCGTGCTCCATACGTGTGGCGGCCTCGACCATCTCCCAATTTGTCTCAACCCCGCCGCCTGCTACCTTCCTTGCGTCACCTCTCGCCATGCCAGCTCATTCCTTGGCTTCCTGCGCCCCATCACCTGGCCTGATGCTTCATATGGATTGCCTATCCCTGCATTCGATGTCCATTCCTTGACGCCCGGATCGCCGACCTTTCGGCGACCAGCCCTGCTCGGCGACCTCATGGCCAACCACCACCATTTCATTACGATAGTCGTCCCCGCCTCCCGCACCCCCGGTGACGTCCATGCGTCCCAAGTGCCTGCACATCGCGCATCTCAGCTGACGTTGTTGACTATCAAAGCTTCACCTGCCTTAGGCCGCCGATACCCGTCCCGTCCCCTTCTCATGTGCCCATCAAGTCAGGGGAACCTCAAGATCTCCAACTGTCCGGTGCCTGAGCATGGCCCCCGGACCGACACGTGGGCTTGCACTGGCTGCGATCCGCCTTGACTTTGCGGGGTTTCTGATGTAAGTGTACCTTAGTGTCTGGGGGACGCCTTTCACCGCCAGCATATCACTGCTCGGCATCGCTGCCACGCAATGAGGGGGCGGCAATTTATCTCGCTAGTCTCCGCTGAATCTGAGCCCCGTCGGGCCTCTCCGACAGCTTCCAGACCAAGCTCTGGAATCCCATCTGGTCTGCCACCATGCCTCCGCTTTCCCTTGCAGCCATCATTGTTCCCGAATGACCCAGGCCCGCCGCCCTTCCACTGAGCCTTTCTTCCCTCCGAAACTCTGGCATTCTTTCTGCGTGGTCAACCTCGATATGGAACCCCTTCGCCATGTGCTCATCCTCTTCTCGCCTCAACCCCAGACGTAACGCTGGCCGCTTGAACACGCTTCCCGACGCCTTCTCCTTGCCCGGTTACTCCACCGTGCTGAACCAGAATCTCCGAGTCTCAAGCAACCTCTTAATCGTTGCGGTCCTTCACGGAGTTACTGCGAAACTCACTTTTTCCAACGAGTAGGTCCGTCTCGTCTACGAACAGGTGGTCATCTTTTGTTTTATTTCCCGGTTGTCTGAAGTGGACAACGTCAGAAACAACCGTGGCACCGGCCGTGATCCTGGAACTGCATTAGCTTCGACCCAACATCGACCTGCAGGGAACATACGCGCTCACTGCCGCCAGCTTTCTGGCGGCATCCAACGCTGCAGTTGAGCTGTACAACAGCATCCCGCTCGCCGTTGCCAAATGAGACGCCATGGTACAATCCGCAGCCGCAAAGATCAGATTGTAAATCACTCCGACCACAACAGCCACCTGCCGCTTCTGATGGCGCTTCACTGGCGAGTCTAATGGGTTGGGCATTCCCAACACGTGGAGCGAGCGGAAGAGGACAATGTTGCAAAGCAGTGCGAACGTTGCCTAGGACACACGACGTAGTCAGCCAACGATTTCCGCGGACTGGATCGGTCTCATTGTCTTCATCTTACCAGGCCCCCGGTAGCACAGGGTATTGTGTAGACGAATGTGGATATTCCGGACATTTCTTTCACGCCGACGTCTGTCACGATGAACGCGACGCCGCCGGCGATCATCAGGCCGAGGTGACTTATCGCGCAAAGCAAATGTACGAAGTACCATGGAAGCGGATCCGACATTATGCGCGGTAGTTACTACCGGGTAGATGGGGAGCTATCGTTTTTGCAAAGTCTTGCGTGAGTTTGCTGCTTGGCGGGTATGACGTTCGCACTTAGCGCTCCGGGGATGACCAACACGCAGTCTATATAACTCAGGACACATGGGCTCAGCCTCGTTTAGACGAGCCGGTAACGAAGAGGCTGTGCAACTGCATCCACCCAGAATCGGCTAACGAACCGGCGTGCCCGATGCCGACGGCAGCCTTGCATCCTGTGAGCTGATTGGTGGCGCTCCGGAAGTCAACTAGCGCCAAAAGTACCGAGTAGGCGACGTGAGAGCTTCATCAGGAGCGTATTGGACAGCAAATACCTCCGGGTGGCACTGAAACTGTCAAGGCGAAAGCTTCAAATCTCTAAAAATGCCGTGCTCAATGTGTTGTTTTGGTGGATCAACCGCAGGGCGATGTACAAGTTGATGTCTGTTGTCGGCCTTGTTCAGCGGCACCTGATCTTTTAATAGTCTAAACTCAGCCTTGCCATACATACAAGCTTACCGCTGAACACGTCACTTTTGATTGTAGACCGACTGCAGTACGCTGTGTCTTGTCATTCAGTCCACCAGCAATTGTTGCTAAATGACCCAGACCACGCCGGCCCGTTCGGACATCCTTGCTCAATGGTACCCCAATTGTTCTCAGACACTCCTCCTTTGGACAGCAGCAAAGTCCGAGGAATATGGTAGTTTACAGCACAAATGCAGGAGCTGCTGGTACCCCCTGAACTGGCTCACGCTCACAAAGAAACAAAGCCTCAACCGCGCTGGGAGCTACAATCGCTGTGCAAGGGTCAAAATCCATGAGAAATATCGAGAGCCGCAGGTGCGAATCGCTCTCCCCTTGGTTCTCCTCAACCCGCAACACCACTCACCCCGAGTGAGTACGGTGGAAACCTTTGTTTTTTTTTCCCTCCTTCCTCTTCTCCTCCTTCCCCACTGTCGACTCGCCTGCCATCATCGCCATCCTCCCACTAGAAGCCTAACACACCCAGACTCCAACTCTCCTCGCCCCCGCCTCCACCTCTCCTGCGCCTCTTCCCTACGCCGCCGCCGCCGCCGCCGTCAGTGAGTAAGACGAGGAGGATGAGTAAGCGCGGGACGATGTCGATGATACAGCGTCAAAAGGCGGGAGCAAGATCAATTTTCGGCCACTTCGGAAGCTGACGAAGATCAAGGCCCCAGACGCGGTCGGTCGTTCGCGATTAAAAAGACTGAGGCTGTGGTCCACGGGTCAAGGTCCATCGCTGAGATAGATGGAGGGAAAAAGACAAAACCGGGAGGCGCAATCATGTAGTCGCCGGCCTTGGTTTTGCGTTTGGCATCGTCCGTTGGTTCGGAATCAAAGGATTTAGGTTACTGAGTGGTGCGGTCCGGAGGAGACGGACGTTTCAGACGTTGAGGCTGTCGGTGACGGAGGGAGTCGAGACGATAGCGCTCCATGGATGTCCGTGGGACATGGCGGGCGTGCCAGGATCCCGGGTCAACCTACATGGCGGGGTCTCCTGTTGGTTGGACGAGTGACGACCGGGAGAAACTCTCTTTTGTCGTGAGACAAATGCACCCGCTCAGGCCGGCAGTTGAAATGTGGGTTTGGATGGTTTGGCGTGACTTCTTGAAGCCTTACGTCTCCATCCAGATGTCTGCTTCAACTCCCTATGCACTTCTTGCTGTCTGCCAGATGGGAGTTCGGATGACGGTCGACTGTCAGACTCTTCGGACTTGTTTTTCAGATGACGTACGAACAAAGCTCCAATTTTGCAGACGGGAACTTGCGGATTCTCGGCGGGAAGGCACGGGATCGTGTTCGAAGAGCATTTTTCAGGATTCGAGCAGGCGGGCGGCCGGGCTTTCGGATAAAAGGTTGGCGGATGCCCAGCGTTATATATGGAGAGCAAGCAGTTACGGGTTGCCATTGTCAGAACGAAATCTCGTCAGCGGGTGCATCCGGCGCGTGGTCCTTTTCCTGCCGAAGCCGAGGTCATTCATTCCCTCTCTTCCACGCAACGCCTCCCCCGGCTTGTTGCACTTCCGTCCGCATGGCTGCGATGCGTCGGCGGGGGTGGGATTCGCGGGTGACGCTCGTCAGAAGCCGTGTACGGAAGGGCCCAGGTGATGCTGTTTGCGGGCGTTCGCGGGTTTGAGTTCCGAGCTGAGCAGCAGAGGCCGCGGCCAAGAGTGGATGGCGGCGAAGTCGGAGGAGCGCGGGTGGCGATGAGTCGAAAGCACACACTGGCTGCACCTTGAGCCGCGAGGCCCGTTTTAACAGAGCCCTCTGCGGCGCAGGCAGAGTCCGGAAGAAAAGGCGCGGTCTGGGCGCGTCGGGTACGTGGCAGGCGTCGAGTGCTGACGGACGACGGTTAGTCCAGAGCGCGCTCGCGGCGCCTACTTTTTGGCGCACCACGTGGCTTGAACCATATTTGGCTGCATTTACGGCGGCGGCGGCCAATCAGCGGCGGCGCTGACGGGAATTCGTCGTCGCGTGTCTCGGGCTGGGCGAGGCAAGATAAAAGGCCTCGGGAATCAGACCACAAAGTGGGTCCGAGTTACGCTATGCGGAAGGCTTCGGTCAGCAGTGGCCAGCAACCATCACAAGGCTACGCTCCTTCCCCTGCCCATATATACCGCGCGCTGCCCTGGGCCCTCTTTTGAAATTTTGTTTTGCTAGTCACTCGTTTTTCCCTCCGGTTTCCTTCGCTGCAAAACCAGACATCCAACATGGTTCTCGGTGCGACCGCCCGCCGCTGGCTCCCCTACCTCAACTTTAGCGTCGCCGTGTCGGCCCTCGCCTTCCAGACGGGCGTGCTGTACCCCTGGCACGAGGAGCTGGACCACGAGTTCAAGAAGCTCAAGGCCGAGCACAAGGAGCAGCTCCACATCTACCACGAATTGAAGCTCAAGCGGCTGGAGGATCTGGAGAGGAAGGTGGCCGCCGAGCGCGCAGCCCACAAGGTACACACGAACCGCGCCCGACGCACGCGACACGCATGGCTCACAGAGAACTGCAGTCCTGGCTGCCGTGGCAGCGCGAAGCCTCGCCCAACTAAGCCCCCCACCGACCGATCACGCAACCGCTCACACGACACCGACCGACATGGCGCTACCCGGGCCAGCCGCATTGGCAATCCGGATCTAGCCCTCGCCCTCGTTCCCGCCCACACCGTCGACCGCGCCCTGCCTGGAACATTCTCTTTCGTTAGACGCATAGACGCGCGAGCATTGCGCATGGGATCCAGGCGTTGGATGTGTTTTTTGCAGCAAGAGGGTCCTTTCAGTACTTTGCTCGATACCCCTTTACAGGCTTGCGCTCTTCACCACCTGCACGGCAAAAACAAATAAACCACCAAACAAATGTCAAAACCCCTTCAACCCATGCTTGTTGCCATGTGAGTCGCCTTGCGCCGCGCTTATCCCCGGAGGCAGGACACTTTGCGCCGATATCGGCGGTCGATCAACAGACTGCGAGAAAGCTCATGAGAGCTTGGTTTGGCATCGGCTGGGCACACAGAAATGCTTGCGACGATTCGCAGGTCGGTTGGGCGTAGTAACTGCGGTGGGTGCATTGCGGGCGAGTGTTGGGTCTGCTAGCGACGCTTCTGCCTGTGCCGCGCGCTGTCACGTGCTCTTTGCCTCGGCCGGCCCCCAAGGCTCCAGCTGCCTGACTGGGCAAGTGCGTCCGTCTCCCCGCCGTGTGGCGGTGGAAGCGACAGCTGCTTCGTGGGACGCTGCATAGCCGACGTGCAACGACATCAGACCCTGTCCACACTCGTATCTTGGTAGAGCCAAATTCACTAGTCCACCGTGAAGTTCCTATCTGCACATGCCTGCGTGGGGAACCAAGGACCACTCTCTGATGAGCGTCAGCAGAGGCAGTGCCATCAACCCCGGAACAAGCGTGAGGCTCTTCCTTCGTGCGCCGCCGCAGTGAATCAAGCATTACCATTCGCCTCTAGTACTTGATTGCGCCCCGCACGCCCCTACCTACGTGGGCCGGCAGCCGGCGCCGTTGTGGCCCCTAGCAAGCAACCGCTGCCACACCGTTTGGATTCTCGAACCATAACACCAGCGGTAATGCCGTCTCATCGGATCGGCGAATGGCGACGACGGAGCGGCGGGGATCAGACGCATCACTTGCCGCCTTGCGCCGTAGTCTCGTTTCAACTCCAGAGCCAGAACGGCTGACTCAGACCTGCGCCTTCATGCACCAGCAAACAATGACGCCTTCGATTCATCTAAGCCGGATGATCCGCCAGCCCGACCGCCCCAGATGAACTCCGCCACGCCTGCAGCTCCTGCCCCATTCCGCTAGCCGCAGCCGTGCTCGTTATCTCCGCCCTGCAAATAATGGCGCGCCCCGCAAGACCTGCAAGGTACTGGCCCGCGGCCGAACACCTTATAAGCCTGCTGCTCCGCGCCTCGAGTCTCCACGCCCAGCAGTCTTGGTGTTGCTTGTCAAGATGAAGCCTTCGTTTGCATTGCTTAGCGCCGCCCTGCTCCCCTTCGCTGCCGCGAAGCAGGGCCGCGGCCCCCTCCACGCCTTCCAGCGCGCCGACGAGGTCAAGAAGGCCTTCTTCGCAAAGCACGATGCCGAAGCTGCCCAGGCCCGCTCTGCCGCCGCCGAAATGCCCAAGCTGCAGAAGCGTGCCTCGCCGTTTCTCACCAACAAGACGCAGTGTATGCACCACAACACCAACCCAAATATCCTATGCTCACCGCTTCCCAGCCTTCTCCGTCGACGGCACCGCCATCCCCGACGTCGACTTCGACATTGGTGAATCCTACGCCGGTCTCTTGCCTATCTCGGACAATGCCAACGAGACGCGGAAGCTGTACTTCTGGTACGTGCACCTTTCACCGCCATTGATAATCCCGCTGACCAGATCCAGGTTCTTCCCGTCTACGAACCCCAACGCTACCGACGAGATCACCATTTGGTATGCATGCTGCAATTCCCAGACTTCTGTTTGACTGCCTTTGTTGACTGTTTGCTGCAGGTTCAACGGTGGCCCCGGCTGCAGTTCTCTCAGCGGCCTGCTGACGGAGAATGGCCCGTTCACCTGGGAGGCCGGTACCTACGCTCCGGTGCAGAATCCCTACACCTGGGTCAATCTGACAAACATGCTTTGGGTCGAGTAAGCTTCCTAAACTCCCGAGCTTGCCGGGCCATCCGTTTAACTTTTACCCCTAGACAACCCGTCGGTGTTGGCTTCTCCCAGGGCGAGCCCGACATCACCAACGAGCTCGAGCTCGCCAAAGAATTCGCCGGCTTCTACAAATCCTTCGTCGACACCTTTGACGCCCATGGCAGCAAGGTCTACGTCACCGGCGAGTCATACGCTGGCTTCTACGTCCCGTACGTGGCCAACGAATTCCTCAACCGCAACGACACGGACTACTACAACCTCGCCGGCATCGCCATCAACGACCCCATCATCGGCGACGAGGTCCTGCAGCAGGAAGTCATCGTCCCGCAATACGTCGACTTCTGGTCCAACGTCTTCTTCCTCAACGAAAGCTTCACCAAGGACCTCCACGCCACGGCCGACGCCTGCAACTACACGTCGTACCTCGACACGTACCTCACCTTCCCGCCGCCGCAGGAGTCTTTCCCGCTTCTTCCAGACCCATACAGCGACGAGGACGCCGCGAGCTGCGACCTCTGGGACCTCGTCTACACCGCCGCGCTGGAAGTGAACCCCTGCTTCAACATCTACCACATCACCGAAACCTGCCCGCACCCCTACTCGGTGCTCGGCATCGTCAACAGCGGCGACTACTCGCCGCCGGGCCTCGAGATCTACTTCAACCGCACCGACGTCAAGCGCGCCATCAACGCGCCCCTCGACACCAACTGGGCGCAGTGCACCGACAAGAACGTCTTCGTCGGCGCCGGCGACCAGTCGCCCGGCCCCGCCCTCGACGGCACGCTGCAAAACGTCGTCGAGCGCACCAACAACGTCATCGTCGGCAGCGGCAACCTCGACTTCATCCTCAGCACCAACGGCACCCTCCTCGCCCTCCAGAACACGACGTGGAACGGCCTGCGCGGCTTCCAGGAATACCCGGGCAAACCGCTGTACAGCCCCAAGCACGTCGAGTACTCGGGCGGCGCGCTCGCCGGCGCCGGCCTCCTCGGCACCTGGGGCAGCGAGCGCGGCTTGACTTTTTACCAGACGCAGCTCGCTGGCCACGAGTTGCCCGGGTATACGCCCGGCGCGGCGTATCGCGCGCTCGAGGTCTTGCTCGGCCGCGTGGAGGATTTGAGCGTCGTGGGCGACTTTACGACGCAGCCTGGTACGGGATTGAATGTGGGGAACGTGTCGGAGGCGGTGCAGGTCAGGAGGAGTGGGGAGATGGGGTTGGAGTGGCAGCTGTGATTTGGGTTTTGAGGGAAAGGGGTGATGATTGATGTGCTTTTGCTCATTTTTCTTAGATGGATGGGCTTTTGGGGGTTGAGAGGAAGAGGGGGGGTTATGATTGGTGGTGGTGGTGACGTAAACATTTAATGTATTGCTATGATCGGATGAACGTGCTTTGGGTTGCGTCCTGGGGGGAGCTGAAGCGTTGGTGATTGTTTCGTTCTCTTTCTTGGATCGGGTCATGTGCCCGGACTTTGATGTGAGCCTTGAGCACGTGTATAGGTGCGTTCAGAGATTATATTCGACTACTCATAAAACTGTGTTCGGGTATCACATCTACACCGCCACAGGATCCACAGTTCTACTGCTCTCTCCTACTGTGTCTCCGATGAAATTTAAGTATTACTGGTGTGTGTTCTTGCGCGTCGATCTAGTCCCTGTGTGACACACACACCGGTACGATGGAGTTCACAACGCTCATGTCCCAGTGATGTTAGTGATGAGCATCTGCGTGCAGGAAGACTCACGAACATCAGCATTACCCAGCCACGCTGCTTCACAAGTCATCCCATGCTCCTCGCCTGCCTTTGGTAAGTTGGAGACGGCCCGCTTGGCTTGGAAATAAGATGTGCATACTTTTTGCGGCTTCTCTCTGTGTGAGGCTTAGCATAGATGTAACAATTTATGTACAATCTCCTGTCTGATGGCGTTGATGCTGTTGATGGCCGAGAGAGAAAGCGGGTGCTGAACGCCTGCATCGTTAAACGTTGCTTTCTCAGCATCTTCTGGAGGGGCATTGGGATGCGTTTCTAAGGCAATTCCTATGAAATCGCCGCAACGAACAATCTTCCAAGTAAAGTTTCCATCGTCCATGGGTCAGCCAGCTCTAGTTGATGGGTCTTAAGTTGGCCAGTCTGGTAGGGAAAGCTCTCAGCCCGCGGTGATGTGGTCTTCTAAACTTTCCTGCGGTATATCGTCATGTGAAAAGAACATTGCAGGCATGTGAGTGGTCCTTTGAGAAACACATCAGGGCATGGGTGTCGTGGGCGTGAAATCGCTGGGCAACTGCGGCGTGCGGAGGTTCTGATTGGCTCAAAAAACAAGACGAATGAGTCGGTACTATACTCGACCTTCTCGCCCCTTTCCACGCTATGCATCTGGAAACGATGAATCGCGGGCGAGGACGGTATATGAACTCAACCAGCGATCCGTAATGTTTTCTAATCGAGAAGTCGGGTGATTCTGAATCCCGAACCCGAGAGACCACCGTCAAACTCCCAGTGATTGGACCAGAGCACCGACAGCCAACCAGCCAACCAGCCAACCGCAGACCTTCTGAAGGCCTCTCACCGCTCACTCACGCACCAAACCCAACCACGAAGCGAGCTCGAACCATGCCGCATACCATAACGCCATCACCGTCGCCATCGACTACACTATGCTCGACGAGAACACGTACGCGAAGCATACGGATGTGGTCATACCACTGTACCGCCACATCGCCGCCTCCAGCAGGAAAGGCGCGCTGCTGGCGTGAAGCCACTACTCGTGTTATTATCGAGTGAGATCAAAGATCATGGCGAGACTGGCCTCGCTGAGGATCCGGAACTCGGGCCGGCGGAGTGCGCTGTTGCCGTGTTACCAAAAGGAAGGAAGAAAAACGAGCGATCAGTTATTGACGACAGAAGAACAACCATATCCTCCCCATCGCCACCGACTGCGGGTATGAAACTAAACGCAAAAGCGCAAAAAAGAATGGACCGCCCCCGAACCAAACCCCCCCTCCCCAACTGCTCACTCGTCCTTGCCCGGTTTCCGGCCCGTCACAACACGCAGCGTATTGTAGCCATGGAACTTCGTATTCCTCAAGTCCTTCCGCGCGCCCGCCAGCGCCACCTCCATCTCCTCGCTCGTCCACCCCAGCAGCTCGACCAGCGTCCCCAGCGCATACGGCTTCAGCGCGTCCAGGAACTGGGCGAGCTGGAACCTGCCGATCTTCTTGAGCTCGGGGTCCTTGGGCCAGGGGTTGAACGGCAGCTTGAAGACCTGCTCCGTCACGTCGACGAAGCCGGCCTCCTCCATCCAGCGCTTCATCCTGGCGGGCGCGTGCATCGTGCGGCCGCACTTGTCCATGGCGTCGCGGATCGTCTCCTGGAGGACGTACAGCGCGCACGTGGCCGGAAACGACCCGTCGTCCGACTGGCTCGTCGTGTCCGTCTCCTTGGCCTCGAGCCAGCCGCCGGGCCGCAGGTTGTCGAAGCACTGGCGCAGCAGCGCCGGCCAGTCGCCGATGCACGCGTTGAGGTTGACGAAGTGGACGAGGTCGAACTTGTCGGCTTCCGACGTCGTCCACGGCAGCTCGACGTCGTCGACGACGAAGCGCACGTTGGGCGGCACCCACGACGGCTGGATCGGGCTGATGTCGATGCCGAGCACGTCGGCCGACGGGTAGGCGTCGGCCACGTCCATGGCCCAGATGCCCGTGCCGCAGCCGAGGTCGACGATGCGCTGCGGGTGGGGGATGGGCGCGAGGATCAGGCGGCCGCCGAGGAGCATGCCGTAGATGTGGTGGATGAGGTCGCTGCGATCACATTCGGCCTGGAGGGGGGCGGGTTAGGGGCTCGCTCGCGGTTGGTGAGGTGTTGGGGGCCAGACCTCGTCGTTGGGTAGGAAGTATTTGGAATCCTTGTAGGCGGCATAGCGCCGGCCGTTCTTGTACTCGTAGTTGAGGATGGACGATGTCAGCGAAGTGAAGTCGCTGTGGCTGTGAGACGATCAGCGTGGTGGAGAAAGCGCAGGGATGGGGGGATTGACGCACCCGTCGCTTTCGTCGAGAGCCGAGTCCCTGTCATCTGTCTGCGCCGGGTCAGCGGGGGGTTGACGATTGGCGCAAGGAATGTGTCACGCACATCGGCCTCGATGACGGCATTGTCGGCGTGGCCTGCAGGGACGGCAGGATCCTGACACATGGTGAAGCGCGAGGGTGGGTGTGAAGAAATTTGTGGACTGGAATGCAGTGCGGGGAACAACAGAAATGTACTCTCGGGATCCGGGGACACGGAACGTCTGTCGATACGATGGGCGGCGGAGCGAGAACTGTTTTGTCGACTTGGGCCGACGCTGGTGATGGATCAGGCATGACAGTCGGCTGATCAGTGCCCGCGCTGTGCCGCAGCGCCCCACCTTTGTGCTTTCCGCCTTGGGCCGCCCGGCTGGAAGCTACCTCTTCTTCCCCGTTTTAGCGTGTTAGAGCCTATACCAGCTTCCGATGCCGTTGGCCGTTCCTCTCTTTGTCTCTCATGGGCCCTGGTAAAGCGAAACTCCTGGGTGATTTGGATTTTACTGACGAGTCAGTCAGGCGTCCAGTGTCTTGCTTGCTTCATTCCCCCTTCTTTTCGGTGCAGCCTCATTTGTCTGCTCTTCTCCAGATTGAGGTCCTTGCTCTGCCCTCATCACGGCAGCTCCGTTGGTCACTCTTTCCTTTGCTGCACTGCCCGGCTCGCCACACAAATCCTACGTCTCCCTATTCTTGACCTGTCCATATATATCGCTCCTACCTAATTCGTAGTGATGCTTAGATCCATCGAGTCCCAAACTTTCGTCGGTAAGATTCTTATGTGAATGCGAGCCGATGCGGCCGATGTGAGGCCTTACAGAACATTGGTCTGACTTCGAGCAATGCTTTCGGGACCCTTGCCCGGCGAAGTTCGACTACAAAGCCGGACTTCGGGAAGCCTTTGCACCCTTGATCCTCATCCCACTCCTGATTCCTGCCCAACTTTTGACCTTCATCTGATTCATTTCAGTTGTCGAACTCCTCGTCTCCTTTGTGCAAAACTCTTCAAATTGGCCCCAGTTGACAATAGCTCCGTTTTCCGTTAAAAAGCTCACACTCTCCAAGTCTCTTCGTTCGTATGCGATGTCAAGTGGCTTCATTTTCTCCGCGCCACCATGAATGGGGAACATCTTGTTCTGCCTACCTTCCAGAAGACGTTCAAGGCAACAACTACTAATACCAGCATCGCACGCATGCCACAACGGAGAGAGCTGTTTCCAATAAGCTCCTGTCATCTACTCTACTTGGAACAAGAGTCTTGCATGAGCCACCCGCCTGAATTGGCTAAAGTTGGCATCTTACGCCAAGGTAGTTGGCAGAAGGGTCGCAAGGCTCTAGCCATTGCTTTAGGTGAGACAGCTTCCGGTCAGTGTTCATATCTCTCACTGTTGAATGGATTGCGGCAATGGGACGCTCGACAGTAACAATGTTCTGTTCAAATTACAAAAAGCACTCAGCTACGTATCCTGCCACGTTTCGACCTTTAAAGGGACTAATGGTCTCCTACGACTTCGAGAAGCCTTTGCTCGGCTCCGAGCTCGTTTGGCGTAACCTTCAACAGAAGCGCCTTCGTATAAGCCGCAGCCACCATGGCGGCATACCCATGCCACGCATCGTTCTTGTGTGTGTCGGAGTAGTCGCAGATACCACGCACAACCAAACATGGAAAGTGGTTCATCAACCCCGCCGCTTCCATCTCGAAGCAGAGCACCCCGTTGTTTTGAGACAGATTGTCCCTTATCAGTGCGTCCTTCATGAGGCTGTTCGCCGAAGCGATGATACCGTGGAATATCACCGGATCGTGCTCCCGACTCGCTCGATCCGGCCGATCAACCAGATTTTGAGGTTCATTGCCGCAAACATGGATGCAGCTTTGAGGAGGCTGTCCTGGAAGGTGCTGATGAATGAAGGTGGACTTGTAAAGTCGGTCACTTGCCACATCCGGCTGTCCGTATTTCTGGCGCAGTCTCTCATGGCTCGCAAGAGTTTCTTCTATGCTTGTGGCGATGTTGTTCCCGAGAGTCCGTAAGTCTCCCGACAAAGCATTGACAGCGGCGAGGAGGACGGCGGGCGTTTGATTGAGGTGGCCGGTGTGCTGAAACGTCTTTTCCTGGATGGTTTTTCCGAAATCGTATTGGAAGACACCGCCAGAGTGGCCCTGGGGGGTGCTGACAACGACATCACCGAGACGTACGTCGTTCATAGCATTCGGAGCCCCGCCGCCGATGCCCACCATCAGCCCAACACGAATGTTTGGGAATGAGTGGAGCATATCCTTCGCCACACTTGTTGCAGAGGTCGTGCCATACTCTCCAGCGGGCAAGACTGCGAGCACAACGTTGTGTTCTCCTATCCGTCCAAGCTGGTAATAGTTGCTGTCACCCTTGGCGACGCTCTCTGGGATTCCATGAAGTTCGTCCAGGAATACTTGTGCAGCCACCAACTCGGTTGTCAGGGCACTGATCCAACCCACAGTGTATTGATCGTTCGGGAGTACCATTGTCCAGAAGTTTGAAGAGATTGGTGACTTGAAATGAGGAAAGAATTGACCAAGGATGTTTGGAGACTTTGTACTGGGGCGCGCTGTATATATATCCACTTGTGGAGCTTTCTTTCTTTCTTTTTTTTGAAAAGAGATAACTGGGGAAAATGGGCCACATAAGCGCCTGGCTCCACAGTAGATTGTGACTTGGCAAAATCCGTCCGATTCATGGACTGCTGATCTATGGAGGTTGATAGGTCTCCGCCTAGGCAGCACTTTGGGGGCCATTTTACCTTTCCTATGTCGGAGTTATAAGCCGACGGGGCATTGCGTGCTCCCAATCAAGTAACCCTATTAAACGCTGTGCCGAGTCTGTAGAGCTCGGGATTCTCGGAGTACCGCACTAGAGTATAGTGCCCTTCGTCGGCCATGTTCGTAGTGGAATAGATCAGTTAATGGAACGCAAATTCTGCACGCTCCATGTTGGAGTGGCCCAGCGGCTAACGAGCATGATTTTCCTCAGCTGAGGTCTGGGCTGAGGCACAGCTCGATACCCCCGGGTGAGCTAAGCGCGGCTGTGGCGCTCAGGCGCTCAAAACGTGGGGCCTATACCTCAACATCGTCTTTCTTCGTTATTGGGCTTTCGCATTTCTTGAAGTTTTATCTATCAGACTTGCTTAAGCGAGCATCATCTCTATTCTTTCACCGACTGCTTGGAATATGCGACAAGCTTAGTGCTGACAGGACGGAAAAACTGTGCCGTTTCTGTCGTGGTATAGAGTCGTCAAATTCACGCCCTGAAGGCTTGCTTTTTACAGTATCACACCGATGAACTGAGTATACTCCCTGCATGCAAAGTGTCAAAAGCCATCATCGGCAGTGCATCTAGATATCGTCAATTCTTCCTTGGGTCTCTTCCTTTCCAGAGACACCCCTCCTCCTTGCCGGTCATCCGTTTTGTTCCATATATCACACCATCAGTTGTAGACCATAGTAGCCGCCTGAGAAACGCGTCAAGGTCTTGATGGAAAGCATAGGACATCAAGGTTCACCTGCGGTAGCATTCTCAGCAAGTATCGCCGAGAAAAGCCGGTAGTAAACGGACAATATCCTTTCAAGAGTACATCAACTGGCCACGCTTGTTCTCCACGATATCTGAGCACAGTTCTGCAGCCGTATAATCAAGGGATAGCACTCTGGTATCTACTTGCCCAATTGCATCGCTCGCGCATGCACACGTCGGCACGCCCCCGTCAACATCTCGACAGAGACTGTCTCTCCCACAGAATCTGCCGATTCACACATCACGATTCACATTTGGCAGATGTGGTCAGAACAAAAGCCTGTGGTCCTTTAGGCAAATTTATCGCAGAACGGCATACGCACGCCGGGTTATACCACGGATAAACGCCGACGTGCTTTCTCCCAACGTCGAAATTACCCGGCTACTCTACTTTTTATCCATTAATCAACTCGGAATTGCGTGCCGAAAAGTAGAGGGGCTCTGAAACTCTTTTGGCTCTGACCGCCAGGGACAGAGCCAATCAGCGACAACCGTGTAGCGTATCCTCCCGCTGAAACGCGTTTCCGCCGCCGCCGGGCCTTCGCTTCGTACACAAGAGTTTCCTGGGATATTCCGGGCCAAGGTGTGATCCAACTCCCTTGGTGACACCATGGACAGTTTACCACTCGGCAAAATGGTATATAAATCGCAAAGACTTCGCCCAAGAACGACTCCCGACAGCACGACTCCCTGATCACCCCAGACCCTCAGCCCCCTTTTCCCAAGATGCACGGCTCCACCGCCCTCACCCTGCTCGCAGCCTTCCCGGCCACCTTCGCCATCGTGCTCCCCCGGCAGGCGGCATCCAGTATCAACGATGCGTTCGTGGCCAAAGGCAAGAAGTACTTCGGGACCTGCACGGACCAGGGGCTGCTGAGCAGCGGGCAGAGCGCGGCCATCATCCAAGCCGACTTCGGGCAGGTGACGCCGGAGAACAGCATGAAGTGGGACACGATCGAGGCGACGCAGAACAGCTTCAACTTCGCGGGCGCCGACTACCTGGTCGACTGGGCGACGGCCAACGACAAGCTGGTGCGCGGGCACACGACCGTGTGGCACTCGCAGCTGCCGACGTGGGTCAGCAGCATCACGGACAAGGACACCTTGACCGCCGTGGTGCAGAACCACGTCTCGACCGAGATCGGGCGGTATGCGGGCAAGGTCTACGCCTGGGTACGTTTGTCACGCTGCTGCACGCGCGCTGCTCCCTCGATCAGTATGGCGCCTCGACCTCGCTGACACTGCGCCACCGCAACGCAGGACGTCGTTAACGAAATCTTCAACGAAGACGGCACGCTCCGCTCCTCCGTCTTCTACAACGTCCTCGGCGAAGACTTCGTCCGCATCGCCTTCGAAGCCGCCCGCGCCGCCGACCCAGCCGCCAAACTCTACATCAACGACTACAAGTACGTCGTCGTGTCCCCCCCC